AACTAGTCCCGACCGGAACTAGCCCGTGACGCTCCAAATTAACCTGTTAATCGATACCAGTCCCAGGAAACAGTGCTGGTATCACAGGGAGACAGAATATCATAGCAACAGAGGTCTCTTTATTATAGAGTAGATGTACAGTCATGTTGGGCTGCGGACAGATCCCGAGCTTACAACTGCATTACAAAAGGAAAGCGGAAGCCAGGACTTGGACCAATCAACACAGGCGCGACTTGGGAACTAGGCCGAAACCCTAAAACTCATCGTAGTCGGCTTGCTTCTGGAAGAACTCCTCATCAGCAGGATCCGCTTCATCTTCTTCAGCAACTGGGGGGGGATTATTTATATAGAGCAAGGGTGAGTACGGGAGTACTCAGCAAGCCATGGGAAGTAAGTGTTTAATGCAGGCTTCAAGGAAAGGCTGGTGTTTTTGCAATTAATTTTATTTGAACTCTTTTCTGAAACAACTAAGTGAGTGCTTCTCAAACGACACGGATGAGACAGTACGTCTCGTCCGGTCGGAGTATGTGCAATGTATCAGTCTTTAGAATTTAAACAAGGTTGGTACCCGGCCAACAGCTTTTTCAACGGCCACCCGGGCCAACAACTTTTCAAACGGCCACCCGGGCCTAGCTGATCCCATCAGCTGCAGATTTTTCAAACACCGAACCCCTTTTCACACAGCAATTTCACAAGCAGTAGTCAAACCAAACTACGCTAGGAATCACCTCACATCCGCCCATGACCGTGGGCACGGCTGTTCGAACAGTTTGTTAACCTCTGCAGATGGGGTACACTTTACCCACACGACATTACTAACCCGGATCACCCAGCCCGTGGGGATCAGCCACGTCGGGAGACCTCCAAGCTTTCATGACAAGGCATTTCCAAAGCCGACACAGGTTTACCATATGCCGACGAGAGGGGTCCCAGACCAACAACAGGTTAGGTCCCAGACCATACTGTGCCAGGAAGCCCAGGGGTCCTCCCCGACACCACCCCGGCGAATCCACATGTCTCTCGGCATCAAGGCTCCCCTGATAAGCTAGTTACTCAGCCAGGGGTGTCCCATTCCACCCATGTGGTCGTACTTGTCTTATGTTTGGATGAAATTCCAAGGAATCGGTCCTTAAGTGCGAGAGCGGGAAACCGTACACCCGGTACGTTCCCCGGTCCGCGGTTTTGGAAATTCATTTAGTTCGCAAGCACCGACCCAGGTGTCGGGTTTTCCAAGTCTTTTGTAAAACTCCAGTTTTACCCAAGTTGTTACTCAGATTTTAAGTTTGAAGGCGACCGTCGATACTGGCACAGGGTGCACGAATATCGAGGCGCAACTGGATGGTTACAAGGGGACATGGTATAGCAATTAACAATGGAAGGATCAAATGCAACAAGTTAGGTAGGTCTGCCAATCTGCCTTGCAGACGGAACAACAGATTAAGTGCAATCCTATCAATGCATAATATTTTGCAAGCAATATAATTATATTTCAAATATAGGCTCAAGATGTTCAAAGGTGGCTTGCCTTGCTCGAGATCTGGAGCTTGATCCTCGAAATCCTCGCACTGCGGGTCTTCGGGCTCCGAAACTACACGCAAAACGGGACAACTCAACAAACGGCGAAAATAAAGCCCTATTAATGACCTCTAAGCGTGCCATTAGATAGATCTCGAGATTTGAGAAATTTTGGAATTTGAACGGAGTCAAACGGATTTACGGTTGGAAAGATATTGAATTTCTAAGATTATTGGATTTTTGGTCTAAAGGAAAAGGATTTAATTAAATCCCTTTTTTTTTGGAAAAGAAAAGAAAAGAAAAGGGGAGAGGGAGGGAATATAGACTTCCCTCGGGCGGCTAGGGCGCGGCCCAAGAGAAAGGGCGGCTCGGCCGAGCTTAACGGGCCAGCCGGCCCAAGAAGGTGGCCCAGAGCGGCCCAAGACGCGCGCGCGCGGGAGGGAGGAGAGAGAGAGCCGGTGGACCGGGCTCACCATGCGCGGTCCCGGGTGGGACCCGCTTGTCAGCGGCTCGGCTCACCGTGCGGAGGGAGTACGCGGCTCATGCGCGCGGGCGGGGGAGGGACGCAGTGCACGCGCGCGGTTCGCGGTGGACGCGGATGCAGCGGGCCCACGCGCAGCCTCACGGCTCGCGGTGGAACGCGCGCACGGGGAGGGACTGACCGGTATCGGCTCGACCCGGTCTAGGCTGAGCTGGCGCCGACGTGGCGCCTACGTGGCTGCCACGCGGGCCGGCGGGAGGTAGACGACGACCCGGCCGCGAATGGACGGCTGGCGGCGGCGGCGAGCGGCGGAGCGAACCACAGCGATACGGGCAAAAGCTAGCACACCGGGCGGTTGTTCGTGATGAGGGGAGACGAGCCAATGGCTCGGATTCGCCAGAGGGAGTTCGACGGCGGCGAATCGCGGCGGCGACAACCGGCGGGGAGGGAAGAGGGAAACGCCGACGAGGTCACGAGGGACCGATTCCCGGCGGTGAGAGCATCTACGCGGTTTCGGGAACTCGATGCTAGCGTCGGATTGGACGGAGCTACGCCGAGCGAGGCTGGCGACGTGTGGGTGCTACGGAGCTCGAGCGGCGACGGCGGCGAGCACACGGCGAGCGACGGCAACGGTCGGGGCGGCGCCGGCTAACTACGGGGAGTCTACTCGAGCTACTACCGAAAGCTAGGGGGAGGAGATGGAGCGAGGAGGAAGAACGGAGGGAGGCATCACCGAGATGAGGAGGGGCGCTGTGACGAGAGGCCGACGGCGCGGGAGTAATCTCTCCGGCCTCGGGCCGGGGAAGAGGAAGGAGAGGGTGCGGCCGAAGTCCCCTTCCGCGTCCTTGCTCGTGCCGACTCCTTCGACACGCGCAACAACGAACGGCGACGGCGAACAGAGCACGGGGGCGGCAGCTATGGCGAGGAGGCGAAAACGAGGGAGATTGGAGGGGAAGGAGCTGGGGTTTAAAGGGGGCGGCAATGTCGGTTTGGGAACCGACTTAGGGCGGTCAAGGCGCGAGCTGGCGCTCGGCGGTCGCGGCCAAAGCGGCGACAGGGAGGATGACGCCGGCGGGGGAAAAAGGGGAAAAAGGAGGGGGAGAAAGGGGCTTGCCCTTTTGCCGATTCGGGAAAAAGGAGGAGGGGAGCGGGGGCGACGCGGCAGAGGGAGGAGGGGCGCTGCCTCCGTCCCTTGGCGGCTTGCGCGTGGAGTGGCGGGGGCCGGGCGGTGACGACGGCAATGACGGCGGGGCGGTTTGGAGCGGCGCGACGACACGAGCGACAGGCGCGGCAGGCGCTGACGATGGCGGCGACCAGGCGGTCGGCCACTCGGCACGCGCGCGCGGCTCGCAACGGGAGGGCGTGGCGGATGGAGCGGCGCGGCTCGGCACACGCGCTGGCTGCGGGGCCGAGCGGCTGCAGGCGCGGCAGGGCAGCGGGGCCGGGCGGCGACCACGCGGTGCGGGCGAGGACCACGCGGGCGCGCGCGCGAACAACAGCGCGCGGGGGCCGGCTTTGCGAGCGGGGAGCTCGCTAGGGAGAGGAGAAGGAAAGCGAGGGGAGGAGGCGCTCGGCGCGGTGACTCACGCGCACGCGCGCGGACAGAGCGGAGGAGGAGGAGCGCTCGGCGCGGCTCCCGCGCACGCGCGCGCGGCGCGCGGGCGGAGCGGAGCGGAGCTGAGGGAGAGGGGAGAGGGAGCGCGCCGGGAAGGGGAGGGGGCGAGAGAGAGCGAGAGAGAGGGAGAGAGAGCGGGAGGAAATCGGCCCATCGACCCCCGGGGGAGGCAAAATAGACTTTTGCGGAGGAATTTGATTTGGAAGGATTTGGATTCGGATTTGAACTCGACGATAGATCGGGGATTGAGATCTTGAGATGGCACGGACACTAGACAACAAGCAAAGAAACAAATTTCGCAATTAGGGTTTTTAAGAGATAATTTTCCCGCTAGGCGCCACGACGGAACGGGCGCTACAGGGTGTGTTCCTTCTCCAAATATGCCCTTAATGTTCAGTTTTATTTGGCAACTAATTAAACCAAGCATATATATACTACCTCCGGCCAGTTTTATTTGTGGTTTTGGACAAACTATATTGATAAAGAATATGTTGATAGTACTTTATGCTTGCCTATGGACAAGTATTTGTGGTAGTCAAAAGTATGACATTGGAATACCTCGCTCACCGTTGAACACAACCGTGAGTTAGCTGACCAGACTCATCCGTGACCCACACAAACTATAGGTTCCATGAATTAATTCCGATGCCCTTTGCCATCTGCATACGCTTCCTACTTTATCTTAAAGAAATTCCATAGTTTACCAATAGGCTCTCTTACTTGAAAAAATAGGTCTTTTTTTTCGATTTCTATTGAGTAGAGGTTTTTCTTTTTGTTTTCTTTTTCTGGATTTGTATGCCATGCATTCTCCCACTGTTCTTTTTAGTATCGTTGATGATTAATCTCCAAAAATATATCTTTTACCATTATTTTCTAATCATTTGTTTGTAGGAGTTACTAAAAGTTTACTAATATCATTCTCATATATACATCAAATCTTAATTAAATGAATGAATTTCTATATTGTCGATTTAAGTTTTTGATATCTGATTATGTGAATGCCAAAATGACATCTACTAAAATCTCAAACATTGGTGAGGATGAGACATCATCTAGTACAACGAATCTGGATAAATAGCTAGCTCATGTCTCATCCTCACTAAGGTTGTTTTTTTTGGGACAAATGGAGTATTTGTGAACGAAAGAAGGCCAAGCATGCACTTAATCACCACCTTTCGTGCGTGCAACGATTTTTCTCTTGGCTCTAGCTAACCTAAGCCGGGACACTTTTAACAGGCCTTTTAAATGGCATCCAGCCATAAATTAAACTAATCGCCAATATCAGGCAGCAGCCAATTGGGCGCTGTCTCCTCTTTCCTCTCTTCCCCCTCCCCCTTGCGTTTCATTGCTAAATAAAGCAAGTCGCTGGCAATTTGAGGAAAGTCCACCCATACCCTGCAAGTTGCATCCACCACCAGAAAAAGCCTCTCCCGCAAACGCCACACACCAAACCACAATTAATCCCATCAAATTCCCCTATAAGCTTTGGCCTCTTTGCAGCTTTCTTCTACCAGCTCCCAGCTAGATCCCCTCTTGCCTTCTTTGGCACATTCGTTCTTGCTCTCTGCTGTGGATTATTTGCCTCCGGCTCCGGCCAATCGGCGGCGTGGCGCGGGCAGATCGATCGATCTCATCGGCGGCGGGGATTGCCTGTTCTAGCTATAGCTTGATAGCTTAGCTAGCTTGGTCATTTCTGGTGAGAGATCGATCGAGATAGCGGCGAAGAAGATGGGGAGGGGGAAGATTGTGATCCGCCGGATCGACAACTCGACGAGCCGGCAGGTGACGTTCTCGAAGCGGAGGAACGGGATCTTCAAGAAGGCCAAGGAGCTGGCCATCCTCTGCGACGCCGAGGTCGGCCTCATGATCTTCTCCAGCACCGGCCGCCTCTACGAGTACTCCAGCACCAGGTCTGTTCTGTTCTTCATATCATCGATCATCCGTCCTCTCTCCTTGCTTGCTTGTTGCTTGTTGATGATTAACTTTTGCTTGAAGATAATATTTGTTATTGATTCTTGTTCTTTTCCTGCGCTTAGCTTTTTCTGCTTTAATTTCCTAGTATTTTGATATTTAGCCAGGGAGCCAGCATGGGCCATGGCCAGCTCTTCTCTGTGCAGTCAGAAAGATGCATAAACTATGCAAAAACTGCCCTCTTATTGAGAAAAGAAATAAACTATGCAAAAACCGTATATAGACATTCATGCACCTAACTAAAAAATGGTTATCACATATATATAAGAGCTGCACGGAGTAATGATTATATATGTTTTTGTCTTTATTTTTCTTTTGAAGGAGATCTGTATGTGTAGTTCTTCTATCTAATTTATCTTTTGTTTTGCATATGTATATTTTTTTTCTTCCTTGTTCTTGACTACTAATTAATTAATTAATTGCAAAACTAAACATTGTCTTTGGTTTGTATTAATTTGTATATTACTTGGCCGTACGTTATCATGTGATCAACATATATGCATTGCAGAAACCATCAAATGAAAGAATATGTGGTGAATGGCAGCTAAAAAAATGATCTAGGGTTTCGTGATAATATGAAGTGTATAGTGTGTGTCTCTAAATGAAAATTTGTATTACTTCGATCTCTCAGCTGTGAATAATTGCGTGGGTCTATACATCTCAACTACCAATTAGGAGGTGTGTTAGATGGATGCTTATTTCTTGGTCAAAAAATAACACATAAAAATCACATGATTCACATATATGATGTGTAATCTTAATTAACAGATTAAATTTTGTTACTTACCGTTATATATATGCAAATATGCAGCATGAAGTCAGTTATAGATCGGTATGGCAAGTCCAAGGATGAGCAGCAAGCCGTCGCAAATCCCAACTCGGAGCTTAAGGTTTGGTTCCCAAGATTGATTATTACAATTTATACAGTTTGATTATTCTCAGATTTAAGTGAGAAATATATCCACTCTAAAAAAAATTAGATCATCCTGAAAGCAAATGCCACAGTGGAGTTTAGAAGTAATACTTAGCAAGCTAGCTTGCATGCATCATAGCTCGAATAATCACACACTATATATTTCCATTTTGTCCGCCATATATAGGTTCCTAACTTCCAATTACATATAGACACAGTAGAACACCATTTGTTTTAAATATAGTCCTTGCGCAGGAGTGTTGCCATTCGTATAAGTTTCATTAATTTCAAGGGAAATATGTGTCTCTTTTATGGTAAATTTTGGGGAGTGGGGCCATGGGGGGAGTATGTAGCACACTGAATTTTGATGAAATAATAACAAGAATAAAATTATTTGATCTTTTAATAGATATAGGTGCACATATTATTTTTGTGTGTGCTAGCTTTAGATATTTACACCATTGCAACATAAATATATATTGCATATGTCTCCTGGCAAACTAATTAAATTGTCTAAACACAATGTTAATCTACTTATGTTCTATGTCTATCCAAAATGACCAACCTCTGATTGAGTATATATATACATGGATAGTTCCCAAAAAATTGCAAGTCTGTTTGTACACATTTGTTATGGAAATAATAAACTAAGCAACTAAATAAACTTAATAATACATTATCAACTAAAGAAATATCAACCATATATACGTAAGACAATCTATATTATGCAAACAAATAAAGCAAGCAAATAATCAACTGCATAAGATGACCATATCTTTCTTGGCAATTAACAGCGTGGTTTTCATAATGAGTATATTTTAATCTTAGAGATTTTATGACTGATATGACTTGATTCATCTTAGCGTACTTCACACCTTATATAATCCCTTTTTCCATTGTAGTGTATTGTACAGTTTTGTTCTGTGTTATCCAAAATAATCACCTTGCCCTAGTGACGTATGAAAATTGCCTAACAGTTCAACTTTAGTTTTAGATTTGTGAAGAATGAAACTAAGTATCTAATTAAGATTAAAACATAGATAAACCAAACATGGAGCATTGCATGAATAATTAAAACAACCTTCCTTATAAATAAAGTCATTGTGGTTTGTCAGCATTTTGATTCTAATCTACCTATATTAATTAAGGAAGTCGATCTTACATGTAGTCTTTGATTAGCGTGGAGCTATCAATCCTCGTGGTCAATTTTTAATGCATGGTTGATATCATCTTATATCTTTGATATCCTACTCAATGAAATCTGATAAGACGAAAAAAATCACCAACAAATTCACATGGGATAGGGGCCAAGACGATTAAACGTACCTTTCGCATGAGAGAAAAACACATTGTTTATGATGTTTATATAGATCCTGATGGGCCTGATAAGGTCTGGAAAAAAAAGAACTGGGAGTAAAAATGATCTTTAAGATCACTTAAGATTAATGGTAAACATAGATAAACCAAACATGGATATAAACATCATAACATGCCGTTGGGCTTGTTAACCGATCATCTTTAGTACTGGTTTATAATTGGTCTGAAAGATTTATGATTTGCCTGACCGAGTAAAGATCGGTTCTCCAGTAGTAACTTAAGGACACGATCGCGAAGTCAGGGAAATTGAAGTAATAAAAAGAAGAATGATTCATCATGTTTTGTTTGAATATCGATTTTACAACCAGTCCTGATTCCTGAAAATTATAACTTCATTTTAAAATAAAATTGGATTTGAAAAAGTTGATTAACAAGGATTTATTTGGAAGGAGATAAGTTAAAATCCCAGTAAGAAGGTGAAAGTTTTATTGTAGTATTATGTGAGTCACAAGCTAGTAATCATGCTGGTTTTAATCTTCACAATCAGTACATTCTGAAATTCATGTTAATTTAAACATTTTCATACAATTTGTTCCAATCGAAAAGTAATATCTACTCAGAGCTTCAGTTGAGAATAATTTGAAACAAAATCAAGCATATGGTGTCAAAAGAGGTAAATTCGGGACTTAGGCCCTGTTTCTTTCAGCTTGGGATTATTATAATCCAGATTATTGGGAGTAAGCTGAAAGAAACAGACAACTTATTGAAATAGCTTATTATAATCTGAAGCCCAGCTTATTATAATCTGATAAGCTCATTTAGGTGAGCTTTTTCCAAATTATTGGGTGAAAAATTACTACCATGCTACCCCACTCCCTCTATAGACTTGCGAACCCAATAATCTAGACTCTAATAATTTAGGAAAGAAACAACTAACGGCTTATTCTACTATAGATTATAATAATCTAGTTTATAGTAATCTGACTTAATCATTTAGATTATAATAATTTTAAACTAAAAGAAACAGGGCCTTAATTAAGGAAGAAGTGGGCAAATAAAGAAGCTCTGACCAAAGCCCTACAGGGCCACATACCTAGTACGAGGTAGTTGGGTCAAACAAGTAACCAAATTATATCTTTTAGATAAAGAAACAAGTAACCAAATTATAGTTGTTTAAGACCCATCAAACAAGATGTAAGTAAGTAGTATTTGCCTTGGGCTGGGTTTTTAGGATGTCAATACAGACTTACCTTGGGCTGGGTTGAGTAGTCGCAAGTGCAACGGGCTGAAATAAATTTAGGGCTTTCAGACTTTTGACCCACCTCAAATTGGCATGACTCTGTATCTATCAAAAATTGACTTGACAGGAAAAATAAAAGAACAGATCTCCACCAAAATGGAATCATGTACTCGATACTTACAAAGAGATGTGCATTACAATCACATGCAAACTTGGGTAGAAATTATGAAGACCAGAGTGGCAGCTCATGTTTTTCCACTTAAACAGAAATGAGGAGTAAGTCCTCCTGTTTGCTCAACTATTCAGAGAAGATACAAGGAGAACAACACAAAAAAAAATAAAAATAAAAATAGAAATAGAAAGTTCACAGTACATGCAAAAGAATAGCTAATCTTTTAACAAAGAACCCTGTTTTGCACCATCTTAGCAGCGGTTTTTATGTGGTCAGTACGGCAGTCAATAGTCAATGAATTACACCCCTGCAATCTAAGAGTAACAAACATTCAAAGAAAATGTCATGTGCCTTTTTTGTCCGCAAAGGTGAATGCTGAACATGTGAGGATACAAAAATAGTGAAATACTACATCCGTTCAAAAATGTTACTAACTACTACAGAAAGAAATATTTTATAGGACTATGAATCTAGACAGGAAATGTCCAGGTTATATTTTGGGACATAGGTGGTTCAGTAGTAAACTACATACTCAAGAAAGCACCTAGGCACTGGTTTTCCTTTCTCAAATAGTAATCCCTACAAACCTTGCATTCTGCTGAATAGGTCAACCAAGGTTTAAGACACTAACTAGGATTCTAGGAATGCACTAGGTAGCATGTTAACAGCAGAAATTAACTTCATAAAAGCTGGAATTTTTCATTTGCTTGAGAACAGTCATACACATCTTTTTCCTTCCAAAAGTAAACATATATTATTCAGTCTCATTTGATTTACAAAAGTACAAAGCTGAGTAGCATGGGACAATGAACGTTCCGCTACCAAAGCACAGGTGACAGGAAAATTATAGTGCTATTCTGATGAACAATCAACTCCAAAATTTACAGGATCACTCACTGGGCATTCCTAGAGAAATTCATGCAAACCTACAAAACAAAGAAACCAAGGATCAAGCCATGAAACTAACATAATGCATTTAGAAATTCATAATTCACTACTAAGAATTGTGACTGGCCTCATGATCAACTCAAAATTGCCCTTCCAAGCAAGCATGTCATGGGTAATAAGAGAAACATTCAGCAGTGGAAGCCAATACACAATGTAGAGACGACGTAATCTGATCAGAGTAAACAACAATAGATGATCAGGATGGACTAAACAGTTTACATGTGCAGCCTTCATTATAAGAACACTAGGAACAATTTTCATACATATTAGATGTTTGACTTCCTTACCAGACTTTACTCATCTAGCACCTTACCAGACTTTACTCACCTTGCTAGATGTTCATATGTTGATGAGTTCATTTGCAATTGCCTGGTGGCACTAGCATCCATGGAAATAAATATATTTTTGTTAATCAAAAGATTTAGAAGAACCATTAAGATAATGTCAACCTTGTCAAAACATGTACCTGCCTCCATCTAGTTTTCATATTATAACTGTTGTAAGCATCATGCTTCAATATTATCTCATGCCACAAGAGTTTTGTTATTAATCATTGTGTTTGTTGGTCAGACATGTTTATTACTTTAATTTTGTCTTGTGTGCCTGTAATTGAATAACTCTACCCTGCTTTCTCACTTGATAGTTTTGGCAAAGGGAGGCAGCAAGCTTGAGACAACAACTGCACAACTTGCAAGAAAATCATCGGTATGGTCTGAAAAACCCTGCAAAATTTCCAAGCATATTATTCATTAGAAACTTGTTGGAAAGAGAAGCGCTAGCATGTACTATCTGAAACCAGCAAGATAGTAATAAAGACAAAAGCCAAGAATCAATGCCCTACAAGTAAGCATTATCATGTGCAAGATTACAAGCACCTACCAATCAACCCAAATACCTGAGACAACAAGGATACTATTAAACACAAATAAACCAAATCAGAACTACTCTGCTGTGAACTCAGTTTCCAGTTCTAAGAAAAAAAAAATAGATCCTCCATATCAGTCTATAGATCAGTCCTATACTCCTATTGGTCAGTATTGGTATCGCTCCCTATTGTATGGTGCATATTGATCCCATAAATGACTAGAAACTATTGAAAGGCCATTGATTTCACACGCAAGCATAGAGAACAAGATATTGCGAAGCCATAATTGCTACTAATAACAAGACAAGAAAAAGGTATCACATATTGGTTTGCTATTATAGGCAGTTGATGGGCGAAGATCTATCTGGGCTGAATGTTAAGGAATTGCAATCTCTAGAGAATCAGCTGGAAATAAGTCTACGTAGTGTCCGTACAAAGAAGGTCAACCCACTTATCATATTTCTCGTTATGCATTGATCATTTATAAAATAAACTTAACTGACATGGTGTTACTGTTACTGCTGCTGTTTTCAGGACCACGTCTTGATTGATGAAATTCATGAACTGAATCGGAAGGTCTCTATAGCATTTTAGTTTTTGTAATCCTCCATGAAGGATGTTTATTATTATTATTATTACTTTAGTATACTGACTCTACTTGGTTGCAGGGAAGTCTAGTTCACCAAGAAAACATGGAATTATACAAGAAGATCAGTTTAATTCGTCAAGAAAATGCTGAGTTATATAAGAAGGTAGCCAGCATGTTAGATAAAGAAAACATAGTGTTGCCACCTAACCTGCTTAGCACATACTGACTTATATTGTAACAATGTTTTAGATCTACGAGACTGAAGGACCAAGTGAAGTCAATCGGGATTCACCAACTCCTTACAATTTTGCAGTAATTGAAAAAACAAATGTTCCTGTGCAACTTGGACTCAGCACACTACCACAACATAGTGACGCCGAACAATCAACTGCTCCTAAGCTAGGGTAACACTTAGCTCTACGTATTTTCAGTCCATTTGCAAATCCAATCTTCATTGGAGTAACGAATGTTCAAACACATGCAGGTTACAGTTGAATCCATGACCAGAAAAACATTGTTTTGCTACACCCTTGTATGCTGAAGGGATACTATTTGCTGTCAAGAGTTGATACTCAGATCAAGAAAAAAAAAACTATTCATGCCATAGTGATTGAGAAATGGACTTGTATACTGGAAATAAATGCCACAGTGGAATTGAGTTGTGGAATCCAGGCAATGAGTGTTTTATGATTCAATTTTTCCATGTATTTTTCATATATTAACCAGTGCGGGCTTGTGTAAAAAATATAACCAGGCAAGGAAAATTAGCTGTATTGTGCATATGGAGCAAATTTCAGGCGTTACTACCATTAAAATCATGACATGCTGTAAGCAAATATCTTGTAGACCTTTATCTACATAGATTTTTTTCAGTAGGGGCCTCCCTACCGTTTCAAAAGAAAAAGAATGCAGATGATTGATATTTCGAATGCCTTCAGACATGGATAATTCATAACTATTGCGATGTGGAACCTTCTTAATTTTCAATTTTTAACACGCTATCTACAAGTGGAATATCATAATCATTTGCTTGTCTTCATTAGTAAGACAAGTTTGAATGCACGTGCCAATGTGAGACAACCGTACCATATAACGGCCATTAGTGCTAGATTGGCTTTGCACCATGAAAACATTGGTTTTACAACCTACTGTGAGGACATTAAAAGCAGAGATACTCTAGCTGGCCTGTTTGGAGATAAACAGTCGAGAAATATTGTGAAGACAATCAAAGTGTTTATTCCTGGGATGCAGTCCAATCCCAAATGATGGATCCAGAACAAAGAAAATATACCTTCCATATGCCTATGTGGGGCTAGAAAGCCCAAGTGCCCAACAAAAGCAAGGGTCCAGTAATCCCTAATCCCAGAAGTATTGAGGGCTTTTGAGTGAAATCCAGCACATGCGGGCCAATATCCTACCAGAATGGCTCAAGCAAGGGTTCTGGTCATATTGCAAGACAGCCCAGAAAGCTTTGAGGTTTGAGCTAAGAAAAAAAATATTTATACATGCAGGAATTGCCCTAGAGGGATGGCCCAGAAAGCTTCGAGCTAAGAAAGAAAAAATATCTACCAAGAAAAACTGTCTAGAGTTATTATTCAAGCTTCATACATGTACATACTGAAATCAGTGGCAAATCTAGGATAAAAATTGAGGTGCTTATGTAATTTGCATTGATAGGTCAAAATATGAAAAATTGATACATATTCCAATTAGCGCACCAAAATCTAAAATAATTCATAAAGCAGAGATGTGACCACCTAATCAAATTATAAATTAATTCTATCCTTGGACGTAGAAAAAGAGTAACCATGGTAACAATTGCACCACAAGCCCATAACCAACAGGTACTAGTCTTCTAGAAGCTATGTAAACCCATCAATTACAGAAGCCATGATCTAATCCCATCACCCATTGGCCCTTGCCATTTTTGCTGTACTGTACGTAGGCACTAGGCAGTAGGCTACTAGCGCCCAGACTAGCCACAATCGTGGATTCACCCTGACTGAAATTTCAGTGGCACCCAACAAAATCCACAGTTGGGCATCAACTAACAAGGTTAACACATCTACAACAGCGTGGATATAAAAATACATGATCTTATAGATAAATTTCTATAATTTTCAAGAATCGGTTATAAGATGAATCTACATCAATCCCAGTAACATTTCTAATTAAAACAAATCTTTACTGCTTCAAGAGTTAGTGGTTGCAATGAGCCGTTTTGTACTCATCTCCTCTCTTCAAAGGTGTGAGAGTCATCTTTGCAAAAGCATGGCTACATCCATTGCAATTCATGAAAACATCACTATCCATCGAAAAACACATGCACTTGGCTAGTTCAATACAAATTAAAAACAAATATTTGCACATGCACTTGGCTAATTCAATAGAAATTTAAAACAAATATTTGCTCATTCTGAACCTTACAGGATTTTTTTAATGGAGAGTGAATTATGGAGGTACCTAAAGATTTTCTTGCAAGATGTGCAGTTGCTGCCACAAGCTTGTCACCATCCCCTTGCATGAATCTGTCATAAAGCAGTAGATCGAATTTAGAGCAACATTTTGGGAGTGGAGCTGAAGTAACTGGAACTAGTAGATGTAACAGATCAGCACAATCGCAAAGAATAACTAGATGCCATGTAGTATTGGCTCACACCAAAAACTGTACTCTTATCAATTAAAAAAACTGCTGTTCTTTCGTGTTAATATAGCTGAGTTTGCCATGGAAGCAGTGAACCATGCATTCATACTGATTTTGCACATACAATAAAAGGACCTCCACAGAGAAGAAACATATGAATGCTTCCTCGCTCTATCTAATCATAGAGAGGAAAACTCTCAAAGTAAAGCCATACGGGTAATTTGGAAAACAATCATAGTTTCATCTTCCTCATTAAAACAGTAACATATGCATGCATCTGCCTGATAGCCTAGCGAAAATTGAACAAGATCCAGCCCAATAATTGAATTTTCTAAAACATGCAGGCAAATTTCACCGTTTTCTAAAAGGAATTTATGATTTAGATCTACTGCGTCCTACAGTTTAGCAAAAACACATCAAACTCCTAAGACCAATTCTTCAAATGCGCGCAGGTTCACAACTTGTTGGCACTATAATGTTAGTATCCAAGGGACAAAGCCATTAACAAATCTGTTACCAGAGAAACATCACATGGAAGGATGATGTTAGAAGGGAAGCGGAGACTGGAGTTTGTGTTACATACTTCTTCTTATAGCACTGAAATGTAGCTCCTACATCGCATTATTATTCAAACAAAAGTGGACACAATCCAACACCACTACTTAATTTGTAAATCCTGCACAGTTTTGTAAACAAAATTCAGAAGTTCCCGACAGAATCGTGCCCTTTTAAATCAACTGCCACTAATGCACGCAAGCTGATGAACCATAATATATTACCACCAAACTTTAAGTTGACTATAATTTCCTGGCATTGTGGTCTCACTCTCCAAAACCCCCCATAATTCCCTCGAGTGTCTGCGCACGCAAGCAAACAGTCACAGTATGACGTATGCCCTGATATGCTAATACTGTACCCCGAAGGGCTTTTCTAGATCCAAACGGAAAAAATCGAAACACGGCAGAAGCCCGAGCTTCTCACATCGTCCTCCAATGCAAGCTATAGCAACGGCACGTATACAAGCATAAAAACAAGCACATGAACATACTTTTCACTGAAAGGGAAAAGCTCGGACGCTCACCTGAGAAACCACGCGCGCGCCGCACCGGCACCGTCGAGGGGAGGGGACGGCGGGAGCTAGCGGAGAAAGGCATTGCGATTTAGGTGGTGGCTGGGGCCGGGGCCGGGAGAGTGGTCAGGGAGGGGAATTCACGAGATCGGTGCGGCTGCGCCGCGCCGTCGCGCGCGGCGGTGCCGGCGATGGCGGCTCAAAAGGGGGAGGAGCGTGCGCCGGATCTGGGCGGCGGACGCGGCGTGAGGACGGCGCGCGGGCGCGCGCGCGCGCGGGTGCCCGTGGCGCGGCATGTGGCCGTGGAAGCGAAGCAAAAGCCGCGACACATGTTGCTCCCGGCGGAGTAGAGGCGAAGAGATATCTGAGCTGGCCGCGATCCATCGATCCATCGATCTATTAATGCCGCGATATGTAGGCGCCTCGCCGAAAATATCTAGGGGATTTCCGCGATTAAACAATGCGGCGGAAGGAGCGATCCACCGAGGGCCACGTCGCCCACCCCTTCCCCCCCTTCACCTCGGGATGATGCTGTGCCGTCCGTGACCGTCGGATGGAGGAGGTGGAAGGCACGGATCTTCGCGCGTGCCGACACCTGTCCCGGCGAGGAAGCGGGTTAACGGGTCCCCGCTCCAGAGAAGGGTCTACAGAAATGATCGACTGTACACACGTGTCTAGTGGTTACTCAAAATAAAAGATTTCGTCGGGTGGTGGTAGTGATCCACTTGTCTGTGCTCTAGGCTAGTTGTACAAGTAGGGACATAAGTTTTATTATTTTTCGAAACATAGCACTAATACATGAGCTTGTATAAAGATACACATACTAGTGAATCTTCCTGTATCGCGGAAGCTGGATTATTACGGGTCATATTTGGTCTTTAGGTTATTCTTTTTAATACACACTCACACACATGATTCTTATGTGAGTATCTCAGAAAACTAAACTGGTATATCCTGACATTCATAAAATCACCATATATTACTCGATATTGATAGGTACGCCGTCTATCACTGGAAAAATAATTAGCTATAAATACGACCACTCCTACTTAAATATAGGATTTTAATCGGGATGAACATGTCCTATCAAAGAAAAAACTAATCATTTGAGGGCATTTTTAAACAAAAGAAACGGTTTTAGTACAAAAGGCCTTTCCAGTACGGTCCATCACTCACGGACAGTGTTGCTCTGGCTAACACAAATTCTATTTCCCTTACTGCTTAAGATTAGAAAAAAAGAACGGGTACGTAGCATCAGTTTCTGCTCTGTTAAATATGTCCATTGGAATTTCTAGTGGCACCTAATATAGTATTTTGTTGCAACATAGTGCACGTGTCTCACGACGTACTACCTCTATTTTTTATTTTTTAATAGATGACGCCGTTGACTTTTTCTCACATGTTTAACTATTCGTCTTATTCAAAAATTTTATGCAAATGTATAAGATATAAATCACACTTAAAGTACTATGAGTGATAAAACAACTCACAACAAAATAAATTATAATTACGTAAATTTTTTTGAATAAAACGAATGGTCAAACGTGTGAGAAAAAGTCAACAGCGTCATCTATTAAAAAACGGAGAGAGTAGTAATCTTTTTGTTATTTAGATTCTTTTTGCTATATTTTATTTAAGAAAGTAAACTCATACTCCTTGCAAACCTATAAAAGCTTATGCTTATCATAGGGCAAGTTCCACTAGTTCTCTTGCATGTCCGAACTCCGAAAAACCACCTTTCATGTTGCAAAAAGTTTTGGATCAACAAACAAATATGTTATAAATTTATTCTCGGATTCATTATCGCAAACATAAATATCGCATTTTCTAGATAACTTCATTACGTAAAAAAAATATGAACAATAACTATCATTTTTTATTTACAATTATTTTATCGTTGTCAAATTTGACATAATAGATAAATGTCCATACGAATAAAAGGAATTACTATATTATAATATTCTAAAATAAATAAAAATGTTATTTTATGAAATATGTTGCACATGTTCTACGTAGGAAATATTCACCTTAATTGGGTTTTTTATGCGTGACTGTACAGTTTGATTTTTATTGTTTCTTAATAGAGTAAATTGTATTGGTGGTATATAAACTTGTAGTATGTAAACTTGTAAATTGTCCGTTTCAGTACACGAACTTGTTTAGTTCGTGCGAACGAGGACCAAAATATCATTGCTTGGTTTTTTTCATCTTTTTTCTACTATCACTATGTCATATTCTATTTTTTATTGGAGAAGTGTACTTCTAATAGCCACTTTTTCATATATATGTTTACATAGTATCCTAATCAGCTCCTGAATCAATAAGATTAGCCATGTAGTGTCCTTTTCGCCTTCCTCCGCACGCACCATACAAGTTCATGCACCAAAACAAGCATTTTACAAGTTCATGCACTAGATTGCATCCACCTGACAAGTTCGTGTACGGGCAATGCAATTTACTCTTCTTAATATTAAGAAGTTAAAGAGTTGATTTACACAGTTTTTATACTTGTATAAAACCTTCAGTTTAGATAATAGGTGATGTGAGATTCATTGTCACCAACATTTTTTCCTTTTTAAAGAGTACAAACTTTTTTTTGGAAAAGTATAGATATTTCTCTTCTTGATTGGTTGATGAGAGGTTGTGGTGCTGTTGGTGTTCTCATTACCCCTACCCAAGTTTATGACCTCTTAGGCTCAATTTTGGTGCCTACCGCTTTATATAGCCAGAAGGTTTTATTTTAACAAAGGGAGTATGTATTGAACATAGGGTAATTTTCTTTCCAGCTTCAACCCTGTTCATATATATGTACAGAGAAATTAATTATGTCGCTAGAAAGTTATTACATTTCTAATTAACGGCAATAATGTTGACACCTATTAACAATTGTTCTTTACCTAATTAGAGTAGCTCTTAAAGATTCATCAAGTGACTTTGATTATCCATTAATCACCATGACTCGCATAAAAAGTGTACTATTTAGGGTTTAGGATAGCTGAATTAATAAATTATTTGATTTGTGTGATAGCTATTTGAGGGTATGAATGGATGAATTAACTTATATAAAGTTCAAATTTTATTTTTATAAAGGGATTCCATGATATATTTTTTTTCACGAAAAGAACCATTTAGAAACTTAGGAAGCGTGCTAATGAAAAACCAAAATATTGAACAGAAAACATGTCTTAGGGCTGGTTTGGTTTGTGCCTTATCAATTTTTGTCAATGCTAAATTTTGACAAGTTTTGGCATGGCTAATTTTGGCAAGGCAAAGTTGTGTTTGGATTGAAGCCAAAATAGTGTAAGTTAACTATTGAAATTGCCTATTGAAGATGCACTTAAACCCCCTAGTGGATTTTGGTGATTAATGACAAGGTGGTTAAAGGGAAGTAACGTGTTTATCAAGTTTAGTCCCAAAGTATGTTGTGATGGCTAAGAATACATGGAGACCCCCCCCAATTCGAATGTTCCTAAATGCGAGAAGAACCGAGTGGTTAGACTAGGTTTTACACTTTCAAAATTGAGTTTGGGGAAAACCGTACTATTAAGAGGGGTTTCAAGTGTGGTTCTAGGGTATACAAAGTGCTCTTAGTCATATCCATGAGTCAAAATATTTTTGGAATCATTTTTGAAAAATGATTTTCTCCCCGGGACAGAGAGGGCTACCCGGAGGTTCTGGCCAGAACTTCCGGGTGCCGTTTAAAAGCAAAAATTTCCTAAGTGCTGCTTGGAAGTTCCTGGCACTTTTGCCCGGAACCTCCTGGCAGGTTTCCAGTTCAAACTTGTGAGTAACGGCTAGATGACGTCACCTAGCCGTTATATATATGGATTTCGTCCCCAGCTCACCCTTTGGCCATTCCACTTCAGTTCTTTCATGTTCTAGGGTTTTCTAGCCTCTCCTAAGCTCCCTTTGCTTCCTCCACTTAAATCTAGAGCCTATCTTGAGAGATTGAGAGAATAGATGAGATTGTAGGAGTGTTTTGGAGATGGTTTGAAGATTGGGTTTGATTGAACACTTTGGATACCTTGTGGGCCGTCACTTGGGCTTATTACTCTTGGAGATCTTCTCCTAGACGGTTAGGAGTCGCCCGTGAGCTTCCAAAGATCTTGTGGATGTCCCGGGAAGGTTTGTGAAGGTTTTCCTCACCTCCGCAAGGAAACGAGGTAAGTGAGTAAAGATTCTTGTGTTGAGTTTTCAGAGGTTGTCCTAGGTAGAGCAACTTGCATTTGTGGTCTTTTCTAGAAGGAATTGTGAGTTGGATCTTGGTGGTCACTCAATTCTAGAAAATGACCTAGAAGTGTTGAGTTGAAGGCTGTGGACCTCTTCTGGGATCTTTGCATAAGTGAGGCAAGGGGTTAATCGAGACCCGACTCTTTGCAGCACCTCAACGGAGAGTAGGATCCGTGTGATCCGAATTTTGGGAAAAAAATCTCCTTTGTCTCTCTTGTGCATGTTCTTTGATTGTGTCTGCTGGTATCGTGTGATCTATAACTTGTGCATCTCTCTGCCTGAATTTGCCGCTAGGACCTGTTTTTCTTCTCAGATTTCGATTGTATCTGTTGCCCGGAAGTTCTTGGCTCAAGAACTACGAAAGTTCCGAGCTACTCTTCACTGTTCGGAAGTTCCAGTATTCATTACCAGGAGGTTCTGGGACTTGGTAAATTTAACCGCTGCGATTGTTGAGAAAATTTCAGGAAAGCCCATTCAACCCCCCCCCCCCTCTAGGCTACATCTCTGCGCGTTCACCTATTTTCTTAGGCATGCCAAAATTTGGCTTCAAACCAAAATTTGGCATGCGAAAACTAAACTCTATTGAAATTGCCAAATATTGGTAAGGCCAATTTAGGCCTCAAACCAAACCAGCCCTTAAACTCCCTTGTAACACCGTGTCCTCATAAGAGGTCAATTGATATTGGTTAATATTAAGCTCACATTCATAACATAATGATTTATTTCGCCATTATGAATACATAGTACAAAAACTAAATACAACCTAGCATAATCCATTATAATTATGTAATCAACTCTCTGTTCTAGTTTAAACGGAAACAAGTATAGGAAAAACTCAACCCGCAGTGGTGGATTCTTCTCTCCACATCCCACCTTCAATTTGTTTTATGTTATTAACAAAATAAATTGTTATCCATATCTGACTTAATAGGTGGCAAAGAGGTAGCGCTAGAGCGGTCATGATCACCTTAGCAAATCGTCTTAGTTGACTTAGATACGACGCTTCCTCGTGCATGTGGGAGTCAAAGATGCATGCATGCGTTGTTTAGAGGGCCAGAGAGATATCTTTGGAGACTTTGTTTATTAAAAAAATTAGATTGATGGTTTAAAATATTGGGTTCATCATCGGTTTACGTGGAATCAGTGGGTATCGATTCATGGTTTTAGTGTAAATTAGTTAATATGGATCTTAAATTGTTAATTTATTGAGTATATAATATAATGGTGTAGTACATTATTTGAAAATAATAGTCCAAACTAATTAGTCCCCTAATTTAAATGAAGACTATATTACATTATTATTAATTTAGTGGGTAAATATAATGGTGCAAACTTTATTAATAAACATTTTAGAGCTAATTAGGTTATGCATTTTTAGAAAAATTATATGATGATATAATATTTATGAAAGTATGATTATTTAAAAAAATTTATCACTAATAATAAGTGTATCCATGAAAAAAAGAAAAAAAGTACGTATGTAACTACCTATGTGCGTACCTATGCAACAGGAGGAGAGATCGAGGTGGAGCCGAATTTTCCCATCTAAGCACATGTGCCCCCTAATTTCAAATGTGAGCATGTATTGTCCAGAGTTCTATTTCTAATCGAATTAGCTAGTACAAAGCAAATGATCCACCAACATGTATTCCTAATATTTCAATTACAGTACCATGTTTTTTTCTCTCATTGCTGATGCCGCTTCTATGTAAAACAAATTAATATTTGTTAGCACAAATTATGATTTTGATGATCCAAGCAAATGGGTTAGATTTGAGCTTACTGTTGTAGTTCCAATTTCCAAAACGAAAACTCAAGACTGACGGCATGATGGCAGGGTGCCCTATCTCGTAATGGTTGACCTAATCAATTGCTAATTGTATTTGGGTTTTCTTTTTCAACAACAAACAGTGTCAAGTAGGCTTAATAAACAAGCTGCTACGAGCAAGTGATTTGTCATAACGATCAGCAGCCCATCAGTCTGTTATATTTTGTTGCAAGTCCGATGGGACGACCACTGCACACACACGCGAGCTTTTGATTAGAAACAAAATTGAATTAGACGGTTGCATGTGCTTTAGATGGGAAAATTTTGGGGAATGCATGGCTGGTCTTCGACACAAACAACCGGATCCCCTTTTAATTATTTGGTAGAGCCAATTCTTTAGTAGGATTAGAGTTCATATTATCTAGTTGGGTTGCTAGCAATATCCTCAATTGATACATGGTGAATAAAGTTTCAGAGTGTTGCCAAATTGAATATTGGGTATTTTCCAATGATTTGGCTCCACTTTAAATCACACTACTATTTAAAGTTGTCGAATAATTCGTTTGGTAAATTTCGGTTTAGTTCCACCGCGGTCAAAAAAAAAAGTTGAGGATTAGGCTTTCAATGCAAAAAAAAAAAGTTTATTTTGCATCACTCTGTTTATCCCAAATCCCAAAATAAATTTATTTTTCAGTAGTCATTGCATCGGGATAAATGCAACGAGAGTAGATAGAATAGAAAATAATTACGTCGGGATTTAATAAAGTTGGGTCATTCTAGATTCTTTTATTGGTATATGTGGGATGGATGAAAATAAAGTTATTTTAGGTCGAAAGGAGTACACGATAAATAGATGCTTGTCCAACACCAAATTGATCATCTCACGGGACCAGGGGTGCACAAATAGTGGAAATTTGTATTATACTGAATTCGGAAATCATTTCTATGTGCCATGGTTTACGAAACAGCATACACATCAAGAAATGAAAATTGCACATACATGCATACATATTACAACTACCTGCTGGTAGGTTTATATAAAAAGGAACCGAGGGAAACCAACAAGAACAAGTTCCCCATCTGCTAAGCCTGGCTATGTGATCTACGAACCATCAAATTCTTCTTGCAATTTGCATTACGCGTAATAAGTTATAGACATTTTGAATTATTTTTTACAAACCCGCAAGAAAAATCTGGCTCGTATAGTCGTATGTAGGGCATATATAGCAAGCTGCCCTGCCCTGCCCTGCCTTGCCCATCTCTTGCAGAGAAGCCGCTGATCACTCGATCGATCAGCGTGTCATCCCGGGGAACATGTGCGGCGGCATGGTCATCGCCGGCTTGTGACCCTGCCTCTCCATGTTCGCGTGCCATCCTGCACAAAACCAACGAAATCGTCGTTGTCACGATCAACCAACCATATATAGCAGTACTAGTAAATTCCATCAGAAAAATGGTTGTCGTTTTACCGAGGTTCATGTCGAAGCCGCGCTTCTTGAGCTCGCGGTACTCCTGGGAGAGGGCGCAGGGCTCGCAGAAGAAGTGGACGGGGCAGTCGGCGCAGGGCTTCTCCTGCAGGCCGTACTGGGACCGCATCTTGGCGCGGTAGAAGCAGGAGTAGACGCAGTTGCAGCCCGTGAGGAGCATCACCAGCGCGTACAGCGCCCCGCTCGTCCCGCACGACGACGACCCCCGGTCGATGATCTCCGCGATCTGCCCGAACGTGATGCACGGGCACAGGCACGTCACGCAACCTGCCGCACGCACAACGATCAATCATCGATCAGCGCACACACACCATGCCGATCGAGCAAGAACACAACCGTATCGGGGGGGGGGGGGGGATTACTACTTACAGTTGCCGCAGTCGTCGAAGCAGTTGAAGAGGCCGGTGGACCAGGCGGCGAGGGGGACCTTGCCCTGCATGGCGAAGGCGGTGGTGACGCCTCCACCGACGTCCTCCGGTTTCGAGTACATGCTGCCCCGGCGCGGCGCCTTTGTCGATCTCTCGCTCTCCGGCCTTCGGGTGTGAGGCTCTCTCTCTCGATCAGAGGGTAACCGGCCGAATCGCGGACTGGTCGTCCACCGTCCTCCGGCTTCGAACAGTTGCTCTTCAGCGAAAGCGGCGGCGTCGACGAAGTTTACGGGTAGTGCGCTAGTGTACTAGTAGTACATGGGTCGAGACTTTTTTGGGCGTGAGATAGGATTGATTTGCTGGCTGGTGATGTTGATCGAGTCGTCGTTCGCGTGGTGGCATGAATGCGTGATGGTGCTGGGTAGGGTGTGGTTCCGTGTGTGACGGGGGTCAAGTCGTCGCCTGGGCCCCAGACGCTTGCCGCGACTCGGCGGCAAGCTTTGGTTTGACTGGCCACAGCCTTGTTTCTTGACTGGTGGTGGAGGGAGTCGCTTGCCAGAGTCCAAAAGGACACCGCAATTTTTGCGATTTGGGTTGGGGGCTGGCTGGGAGAGTGGTCAGGGAGGGGAATTCACGAGATCGGTGCGGCTGCGACGTCACGCGGTCGCGCGCGGGCGGCGCGGCGGTGCCGGCGATGGCGGTTCAAAAGGGGGAGAGTGCGCCGGATCTGGGCGGCGGGAGGACGGCGCGCGCGCGAGAGAGAGAGAGTAGGCGCGAGAGAGCGGGTGCCCGTGGCGCGCCGTGGCGCGGCATGTGGCCGTGGAAGCGAAGCAAAGCCGCGACACATGTCGCTTCCGGCGGAGGAGGAAAGGCGAAGAAATATCTGAGCTGGCCGCGATCCATCGATCCATCGATCTATGCTGCGATATGTAGGCTCCTTGCCGAAAATATCCAGGGGGTTTCCGCGATTAAGGCTGTGTTATTCCCCCTATTTTCCCAACACACCTCTCTCAGTTTTCCACGCGCACGCTTTCAAACTACTAAACGATATGATTTATAAAAAAACATTCTATATGAAAGTTGTTTAAAAAAATCATATTAATCTATTTTTCAAAAAAAATAATTATACTTAATTAATCATGCAATAAAACGAACTTCGTTTTGCGTGCCGGGGAGGAGGGGTACCCCCTCTCCGAACACAACCTAAACAATGCGGCGGAAGGAGCGATCCACCGAAGGCCACATCCCCACCCCTTCCCCGAGAAAACGGAGATAGGTTGGGTTGGAATAAAATACCACTCAATACAATACACCGGATAAAATGCCACTCAATACGTTGCCTAATGGATGAAATACCACTTTAGAGATTTTTGTGCCCAAAATGTCCCTGGAGAGAGAGAGGGGGGGGGGAGAAGGGAGCGTTGGGGAGGGAGGCACCGGAGGCCTCGCTGGGCGGTGGCGGCGGCGGCCGGCAAGAACAGCGGGGGAGGAGGATAGGATGGCGGGCAGCGGAGGAAGAGGCGACAGCGTCGGGAAGGAGGACTGGGCGGTGAGCCTACTCGCGCGTTCACCGCTGAGGGCAGGGGGAGGAGGAGGCGACGCGGGAGGAGGAGCGCCGGGGAGGGCCGGCCGGGCGGCGCTAGAGGCCTCGCCAGGTGGTGGCGGCAGCGGCCGGCGGGGACGACGGGGGGAGGAGAACAGGGCAAAGGAAGATGCGACGGCGGTGGAGCCTCAGATCATCGTCCCCGTCGCTGCCCGGCCGCTGCCGCTCGCCGCGCCGTCCTCCTCTCCCCACGTCGTATCCTCCTCCTCCCCCCGTCGTCCCCGTTGGCAGCCGCCACCACCACCGCCCGGCGAGGCCTCCGGCGCCGACCAGCAGGCGCTCCCTTCTCCCTCTCTCTCTCCAGGGACATTTTGGGCACAAAAATCTCCAAAGTGACATTTTATCCGGTAGACAATGTATTGAGTGGCATTTTATCCAGTGCATTGTATTGAGTGGCATTGTATCCCAGCCCAACCTATAGAGTGGCATATCGTCCGTTTTCTCCCTTCCCCGTCACCTCAGGATGATGTTGTGCCATCCGTCGGATGGAGGAGGTGAAAGGCACGGATCTTCACATGTGCTGACACTTGTCCCGGCGAGGAAACGGGTTAGAGCAAGTACAATAGCAGCCTATAAGCCAACTATAACCACATATCGAGAAGAAAAGAGAAGAGAGAGAAGAAAGCGGGCTACAGATTTGTAGTCAGCTGCAACATGGACTCCAAGACGTTTTGTGTGTATGAGAGATGGGACCGGGTATTAATGGTGTAGTATATTTTTATAGGTAACTATTGTATGAATGGGCTATTAGGTTATATATAGATGATTTGGAGCTAACATTTGGCTATACTATTAAACTTACTCTTAGAGCAAGGATAATAGTGAACTATAAGCAAGCTATATGCTTATATGGAATAGAGAGATAAAGAAAAGTGGGAAGTGTTGGTTCTCATGCAAGAGCTAGTTTCACACAAGCTTCAAGAAATATGCATTAAACTCAAAGTGAGATAAAGAGAGAGGATGAAAAAAATAAAGCTAACCTTATAGTTAATCTATTATACATGTTAGCTCTAACATTGACTTATAATAAGTAGTGAATTGTACTATTAAACTTGCTCTTAGGGCAAGTACTATAGGCATTTTAGGCATCCAAGCACAGACCCAAGATACCACATAGCACTAAGGGCAAGTACTACGGGCATCTAAGCACAATCTCCTAGTGCCACATAAGCTTAAATAGTGAGGTGGAGGAGAGAAAAAATGAGAGAGATAAGGAGCCACCCCTCATGCAAGAGGCAACTACTACACAAAATTCAAGACAAAGAGAGCGAGAGAGGAAGAGTAGATAGGGCAAACAAATATTGGGGCTAGTGTATTATAATTAGTATAGATGTGATATATTGTACATGTTACCTCTATATTTATTAGTTGATGATGTGGTCAAGATTAGATGTAACATCCACCTCTTTTATAAAACTTGCCCTAAATGATGAGATGGAGGAGAGAATAAAGATAAAAAAGAAATAGTCACCTCTCATGCAAGGGGCAACTCCTACACAAACTTCAATAAATATGTGAGATTGCTAGAAATATTGGGGATGTGTGGTAGAGACAATCTATTACACATGTTACCTCTTAATTTAATGGTGTATGACATGCATAAAATTAGATGTGGTACTCACCTCTACCATAAAACTTGCCCTTAGAGCAAGTTTAATAGTATAGCCAAATCATCTATAGTCAATTTAATAGCTCATTTATATAATATAGTTAACTATAAATATACTATATCATTAATAATTGGTCACACATATCATACACACGTAGCGTTTTAGAATCCGTGCTGCAGCTGGCTACAAATATATAGTCCGCTTATCTTCTCTCTTTTCTTATCTTCCGTACCGCAGCTGGCTATAAATATATAGCCGACATTATGTTAGGGCCTCATCGGATGGATGTATGGGCTGAGGCTTTTCAGCCAAAGCCTATCGAATTGCTTATTGGGCTGAGGACTTTAAACCGAATTGCTTATTGGACTGAGGACTTTAAGCCTCAATAAGCCAAATAAGCCAATTAATGGCTTTTCTTTAGCTTAAGGAGAAAAGGTAACTTTGACTATTCAGCCAAAGCTCTAGGTTAACCGATGAGGGCATTATTGTACCTGCTCTTAACGGGTCCCAGCAAGGCCGACTCCAGAGATGGGCCTACAGAAATGGTCGACTGTACAGTGTACACATGTGTCTAGTGGTTACTCGAAATAAAGATTTTGTCGGGTGGTGATAATGATCCACTTATCTGTGCTCGGCTAGTTGTACAAGTAGGCATATTTTTTTTTCTTCAAAACAGCACAAATACATGCACTTGTATAAACATACACACACTTATTATTCTTAATACACACACTCACACAAGAGAACACACGCACCCATGATTCTTATGTGAGTGTATGAAGATTGAACTTGAATATCCTGAGATTTATAAAATCACCATATATTACTTGATATTTGATATTGATAGGTACGTTGGCTATCAGTGCTATAAATACAAGATGATTTGATAGGTGGCAAAGCGATAGCGCTATAACGACCGTGATCACCTTAACAAATCATCTTAGTTGCCTTATATAAGGCGCTTCATCGTGCATGTGAAAGTCAAAGATGTATGTATGCGTTGTGTAAAGGGCCAGAGAGGTATCTTTGGAAGCTTTGTTTATTAAAAAAAAGATTCAATGGTTTAAATAATAGGTTCAATGGTTCGAAGGGAAACTATTTTTTATTAAAAAATAGTATGTTCACCGTTTTAGTTTAAATTAGTTAATATAGACCATAAAATGTTAATTTATTGAGTATATAATATAATGGTGTAGTACATTATTTGAAAATAATAGTCCAAAGTAATTAGTTCCCTAATTTAAATAAAAATTATCTTATATTATTATTAATTTAATGGGTAAATATAGTGGTGAAAACTTTATTAATAAACATTGTAGAGCTAATTAAGTTACACATTTTTTAAAAAGTTTTATGATGATATAATCTTTATAAAAGTATGATTATTTAAAATTTAGAGTAAATTGCACCCACGGTGCAACAACTTGGTAGGTGGGTGCAATTTAGTGCAATAACTTGAGAAATGAGGGTTCCAGTGCAACAACTTGGTAGGAAGGTGCAATTTAGTATAAGAACTTTATAAGTGATCGTATAAATACAACAACTTGCAAGTAGGTACGATTTTGATACAATAAATTAAGAAGTTATATGATAACTTAATTTTTTTGGAGCATTTTAATTTTTTGAGTATTTATTTTGACAATATTCTAGCATGGATTTGTATAATCATATTTATATATTTATCCTAATAACTAATAACTGAAAGTTAATAAAACTGGATGTAGAATTATTATATTTCGGTTGATATTTGAGATGGTGAAGAAAGAAAAAAAATCTTAAAGTTAATTGGATGTAAATTGTATGTGCAGTATAATTCTTAAAGATTAAATTCAATATTATAAGGTAATATCCGTAGGAATATTGTGTAATGGCATATTGACATCGTGAAAAAACTCACCTAGCATATGCTTAGCCAAGTTGATGCACCAAAATACTATAAATTGTAGTTCTTGTACTAGAATGCACCCACTTGTCAAGTTGTTGTACTCAAACATTTAATTCGCAAGATCTTGCATTATATCGTACCCACCTGCCGAGTTATTGTACCATAGGTGTAATTTACTCTAAAATTTATTATCACTATTAATACGTGTATCCATGAAAAAAAAAGGAGAAAATGTACGTATGTACCTACCTATGCAACAGGAGAAGAGGTCGAATTTTTCCCATCTAAACACATGTGGCCCCCTAATTTCAAATGTGAGCACGTATTGTTCAGAATTCTTTTCTAATCGAATTAGTTGGTACAAAGCAAATGATCGATCCATCAACACGTGTAGCTAGTAAATTACAGTACCGTGTTATTTTTTCCCTCCTTGCTGATGTTGTTTCTATGTAAAACAAATTAATATTTGTTAGCACAAATTACAATTTTGATGATCCAAACAAATGGACTAGATTTGAGCTTACCGCTGCCGTTCTAATTTCCTAAACGAAAACTCGAGACTGACGGCATGATGACAGGGTGCCCTATCTCGTAATGGTTGATCTAACCTATTGCTAATGGTATTTGGGTTTTCTTTTTCATAACAAACAGTGTCAAGTAGGCCTAATAAACAAGCTGCTACGAGCAAGTGATTTGTCCTAACGATCAACAGCCCTTTAGTTTGTTACTACTCCCTCCGTCCCGCAATATAAGAGATTTTCAGTTTTTGCTTGCAACGTTTGACCACTCGTCTTTTTTTGCAAATATAAAAAACGAAAAGTTGTGCTTAAAGTACTGTAGATAATAAAGTAAGTCACAAATAAAATAATTAATAATTTCAGAAAATTTTGAATAAGATGAGTGATCAAACGTTATAAGCAAAAACTCAAAATCCCTTATATTATGAGGGAGAGGGAGTACATTTTGTTGCACATCAAGTCCGATGGGACGACCACTGACACACAGTCACACACATGAGCTTTTGATTTCAAATAGAATTCCAGTCATTACATGCTCACATTTGAAATTAGACGGTTGCATGTGCTTAGATGGGAAAAATTCAGGGAATGCCTGATCTTGGTCTTCGACACAAACAGCAGGATCCGATCCCCTTTTAGTTATTTGGTAGAGCCAAAATCTGGCTCTACCAATTCTTTGGTAGGATTAGACTTCATATTATATTGTTGGTTCGCTAGCAATATCCTCAATTGGTACATGGTGAAGAAAGTTTTTGAGTGTTGCCAAATTGAACGTTTGGGCATTTTCCAATGATTTGGCTCCAATTTAAACTAACTACTGTTTAAGTTGTTGAACAACTCATTTGATAAATTTCGGTTTAGATCCAACGCGGTCCAAAAAAAAGTTGAGGATTGGGCTTTACTTGCACGAAAAAAGTTACTCCCTCCATTCCAAAATAAGTTTATTTTGCATCCCATCTGTTTATCCCAAAATAAATTCATTTTCTAGTAATCATTGCATCGGAGTTTGTAAAAGTATGGATAAATGCAATGAGAGTAGATATAATAGGAAATAATTACATTGTGATTAAATAAAGTTGGGGTATTCTAGATTTTTTATTGATATATGCAATATGAGTAAAAATAAACTTAGGGTTGTGTTCGCTGAGGTAGGTTGAGAACTCATTCTCTCCGCACGAAAAACAGAGTGGTCCATTAGCGCGTGATTAATTAAGTATTAGCTTTTTTTTTCAAAAATGGATCAATATGATTTTTTAAAGCAACTTTTGTATAGAAACTTTTTACAAAAAAATACATTATTTAGCAATTTGAAAAGTGTGCGCGCGGAACACGAGGGAGAGGGGTTGGAAACCCTGAGCAAAGAACACAGCATTATTTTAGAACTAAGGGAGTACAGATAAAGAGATGCTTGCTCAACACCAAATTGATCATCTCACGGGACCAGGAGTGCACAAAAAGTGGAAATTTGTATTATATTGAATTCGGTTGAATTAAGAAAGGGCATAATCGAAATCATTTCTTTGATATGCCATATGCTTTACGAAACTGCATACACATCAAGAAATGAAAATTGCATACATGCATAATACAACTACCGGCTGGTAGGTATATATAAAAAGGGACCTTGGAAAACCAACAAGAACAAGTTCCCCATCTGCTAAGCCTGGCTACGTGATCTATGAACCATCAAATTCTTCTAGCAGATTGCATTACGCGTACTATAGTTATAGACCTTTTGTATTGTTTTGGTGCAAACCCGCAAGAGAAATCTCGCTCGTATGTAGGCACGTAGTAAGCTGCCCTGCCCTGCCCTGTCCTGCCCATCTCTAGCAGAGAAGACAACGACCGAGCAGGGCAGCAGCCAGCATCACCCACTGATTAGCCGATCGATCAGCGTGTCATCCCAGGGTACATCTCCGGCGCCATGGTCGCCGCCGGGTTTTGCCCTTGCTTCTCCATGTTTGCGTGCCATCCTGCACAAAACCAACGAAATCGTCATCGTCACGATCATCAACACGCACGACAGCCAACCATTCCATTAGAAAATCGATGGCTATGCTATAAACATATTTTAACATATTTTAAGAAGATAAAAGAGTAGAGAGACGAGCAGTGGACTACAGATTTGTAGCCAGCTGCAGCACAGACTCAAATACGCAATGTGTGTATAACATGTGGGACCAGGAATTAATAGTGCAGTAGATAACTATTGTATCAATTAACTATTAAATTAATTATAAATGATTTGGAGTTGGTAGTTGGCTGTACTGTTAAACTTCCTGTTACCGAGGCTCATGTCGAAGCCGCGCTTCTTGAGCTCGCGGTACTCCTGGCAGAGGGCGCAGGGCTCGCACCACAAGTGGACGAGGCAGTCGGGGCAGGGCGTCTCCTGCAGGCCGTACTGGGACCGCAGCTTGGAGCGGTAGATGCAGGAGTAGATACAGCTGCAGCCCGTGACGAGAAACACCAGCGCGTACAGCGACCCGCTCGTCCCGCACGACGACGACCCCCGGTCGACGATCTCCGCGATCTGCCCGAACGTGATGCACGGGCACAACCACGTCATAAAACCTGCGCCCGACAACAATCGATCAGCACACACGTACCACGCCAAGCAGAGAACACACAATCGTAGCCCGGCTTGCTTATTTTACAGTTGCTGCTGTCGTCGAAGCAGTCAAAGAGGTCGGTGGACCATGGGACGGGGGCGGCCTGGTCCTGCATGGCGAAGGGTGGTGGTGGTGGTGGCGCCTCCACCGTCCTCCTCCGGCTTCTGAGTATATATATGCTGGCCCGACGTACGGGGCGCCTTCGTCGATCCCTCACTCTCCGGCCCGCGAGGGTGAGGCTTTCTCTCCGACGAGGCTAATGATGAGCGCGCGGTGTGGTGGTACAAGTAGTAGAGGGTAACCGGCCGAATCGCGGACTGGTCGTCCGCGCGCATTTATCGGGCGAGGCCGCGAATGTTGGCCTATCGATCATAATTTTAAGGACGTAACTACGCATCGGGTGCTCGATTTAACGCTAAAAATCGGGTGCCCACCCCTACAAAACATCAGCTAAACTGGATGCATGCACAAAGCCATGCGCATATGCAAAGAGACATGCAACAAGCATGGAGGCACTCAATAGCTGTGCATGCAAAGTACATAACTATATCTCTCACTCCTAGTATTAATAAACAACTTATTTAACATGCTCTAAACTTTTTTTCTTATAAATTACTTATCTCATCTGTGATATGATTACACCGTTATATTTGTTACAATTAAATATTTAAAATAAGATCTCACACGACTATATTTTAAATTAAAAATTAATATATAAATATATAACTAATTGAAACACATTTATATTATATATGAAACATTAAGTTGCAATTGTTTAAACATCACAAAAAACTCCTTGAAAAATATCTAAAAAGAATATCACATGCAACATTCCAAATAATTTAGTGAAACATCACAAAATACCTACCGAAACATCCCAAAAAACACACCACGTGCAACATTCTAAAATACACAATGAAACATCATAAAATACCTCCTCAAACTCAAAGAACACCAAGTGCAACATTTCAAATAAAGTAGTGAAACATCAACTAAAACATCACAAAAAATACTTCTTCAAACATTCAAAGAACGCTATGTGCAACATTCTAAATGACCTAGTGAAACTTCGCGCCGTTTAAGTAATCCATTGCAACAAAAAAACATTTAAAATATTTTTGTCAGAATATAATCAAGTAAGATTTTATTGTGAAGAATTAATTATAACAAATACAACAGTGTAATCGGATCTCAGATTATTAGATAATAATCTGTGAAAGAAGATTATTTGAAGTTATGGAATAAGAAAGTATAAGTATGTAGTAGGAGCATATGGATACAGAGGGTGAACTTAATTGTACACGTTACATGTATCATGGCATCACCAATATATATAGCAAAAGTGATTCATATAGATAGGATCCACATAAATAAACTTTAACTATAACAATCCTCACAATGTATATAGATAAAAGGTAGCACTAAGAGAAGATAGAAGTAGAGACAAATAATATTATTTATTTTATATGGGTAGCCTATATGGTTTTCTTTTTTACTTTTTAGTCCTTTTTTTAAATTAAAAAAAAGACCTTTACAAAAAATATTTCTAAAAACTGAATCTTTTGGCCCGATTGGCTGCCACACCAGTTGCACGGTGTGACAAAGTTATTTGGCTGGCCAAAAGGTTCAGATTTGGAAATATTTATTTTGGAAGGTCTATTTTTAAAATTTAAAAATAAAAAAATATTAGTCCATATGCATATGGGTATCTTTTGTTATTTTCTTTAAATGGACTAGTTGCATAATAGTATTAGGTGGTTGAATAAAATATTGTATTGCCTATAGATCACTTTTGCACCACATTGTGGATGCCCTTAAGTAGGAGAGAATAAAACTACACTCTATATGATTTTTGATGGGTACCGGCTCAAAAGCAGTGGCCTTGATCTTCTTTCCTGGCTGGAAATTGCAGTCATGAAGGCTTATCTCCCGCTTCTTATTGAAAGCAAATAATAAGATCAAAACAGATTCTAGGGATTGCGTTCGTTGGCGGACTCAACCTGACATCTTACGACATGAACTGCTCCCAAAGAGGGAGGCCTAAATATAGTTTTTTTGGATGGAATCTTTGGCGTCAGCCTATAGGTTTTCTGGTTTTTCTAATTTCTTCTTTGGCGGAATGTGAAAGATTACCCTTTGATTTACCAGAAGCGGAGGAAGAATTAGTAGCAGGTTATCAAACCGAATATTCTGGTATCAAATATGATTTATTTTATCTTGTTTCTTACCTAAATTTATTAGTTTCCTCTTTATTTGTAACAGTTCTCTACTTAGGCGGGTGGAATTTGTCTATTCCCTATATATCCTTTTTTGGATTTTTCCAAATGAATAAAATGGTTGGAATTTTAGAAATGACAATGAGTATCTTATCAGAAAGATAGGCGGACGACTTGACCATAAGGTCGGATGTTTCCGTGAGCAGTAAGCTGCGGATCTCCCCTTTTTTGGGGGAAAGCTGGTGGCCCTTTTGGCGTGTTAATTCTTTCGACGGGGTGGCCTTCTTCGTTCGGTAGATCCGGTCGAGGTGGTTTTCGTTTACCAGCGCGTAGGTGGTCTAAGTTCCTATGACCGAGTCTTTCTGGCCCCTGTGAACATATTTTCTTAATGTATTAAAGAGGGCCTCTCTAACCGGTGAAAAGTGGTAGGTGTCCACTAACGGCTATTCCTGGCTCGGCTCCGATAACGCAATTCCGGGAGGAGTCGGTAGTTAGGCACTTGATCCCTTCGGACCTGGAGAACGTGTGACACTGGGTCGGGGTTTGGTGAACCAACAGGTCGCTCCTTTAGTTGAAGTATTGGGCCCCTTTTTCGTTGCCTAGGTTACACCTTCGGAATACCCCAGACGGGGATTGAGCTCTATTCCCCCCAATCTTCACTTTACGCCATGCCGACTCTCCGTCGTGGAATTAGACCAAGGGTCGAAGACCCATACCATAGGACCCCATCCCCCGTATCTTATCTTTCGCGCGTAGGAGATCGAGACACAGCCTTAGGGCTATGGGGAAAGTAGATCGATTGCTCTAGAATTACAACTACATAGAGGGTCTCTACAAGTCTATAAAGAAGTTTAAAAAAATTGATAGACACTGTTTGATGGTGCATGCTGCATGCAACACATAACCGGAGTAGGAGGACGTCCGATTTTTTCAAATTGGGTCGAACACCCGACCTTAATCGTTCTCCTAATTTTTCAAGTGGATAATTGCATTTGTTTGGACTCTCGCTGAACCAATCATGATGCAGTGCGGGCCTGGTCGCGCCCACGGTGTTCACGTGGGTGGCGCGGGCTCTGCATGCGGGATAGCACGACGGGTGGCTACGGTTGTACAAGCTTCAATAAACGGTTTGGAGTCAGTTGCAATACAAGCTTCAATACAAGAGAGACGAGTAAATTAAATATTAATATATTAATAATTAACTATTGTATAAATAGGCTATTAAATTGACGAAGCTAGTAGTTAGTTATATTATATTATTAAGGGACTAACTAGCTGTCATTCGACAAATTTTAGTATAGCTTAACTGGTTAGATTCTTTGTGGTGGAACCAGCCCACCCAGGTTTAAATCCTAGAATTGACATGGGTGCTCGTATTTACGGGCTATTTATTCTTTCAGTGGTAGGTAATATACCCGTCAATAGCGAGGCACTTACACGCATCAATAACTTAATGGGCTTCAACCTAACTGGACCAACCAACGGTGCTCACACGGGCTAAAAAAATTATAACAGGCCCATGGTCAACTTCTTTTTTATCACAACTTATTACAATATATCTATAGTGTAATTATATTGTAATTATACCATAATTATAGTGAGTTACACTATAATGATAATGTAATTTTAGCTTGTAACTAAATTAAATTATTCACTTGTTCGACTGACGAAGTGCATGTTCTAGCAATTAGAATTCATATGCCATCCCACAAAGGCACTTGCTGGAAGATTTTGTCAGCCTACAGTAGCCTAGTGTTGGTAACTTTTTTTTTTTTGGCAAGAAGATAATCATAATCGGGACACTTAAATGTCTTACAGTGATATAAAGTCGCCAACCACCCCGATATAGCCAAAGGCTAAATCAAGATGAGTTTTATATAAAGAAAAGCTAAACCGGCTAGCGGAGCCGATTTAGAGATCAAAATAAGCCTCTAGGCCGATTTAGATCGATATGAGGATAACTACCCATCTCGTGGGTGAACTGAAGGTTTACGGGACAAACCTATAGAGGGGTAATCGCACTACTCTCGCAGCGACGGCGGACGATTTACAGCGCAAATCGACAAAGATGTAGTAAAACAAGAAAGTAGAAAACATGGCTAAAAGTAAAGATAAAAGAACAATTCGATTGTGTTCGGGGGGGGGGGAGAGATATATCAATCGAACCGGTCTTGTCCCTTAAAAAGGGGTTGGTCTTACCTCCTACAAATCCTCCTCCACGTCCAACTCGGGATAGAAACCAATGGAAATCCGAAATATACCTTCCCGAGTAAGGAAATCCGAGACCCGACGAAAACAAACTCAGGCTCGGACTCTACCGGTCTGACCGGCCACACACTGCCGGTCAGACCGGTCCTCAAGCAACGATCTGACCGGCCAACATACGGTGGTCAGATCGGCTCTGTAGAGGAAACATGTGATATTTCCAAATCTTGACAATAATTTCTTAATTTGAACCTAGGTGCCAAATTTGAGTATAAACAAAAGAAAACTTATGTTCTGATGTGGTAGGCCCAAGAAAAAAAGGTGTCATTTGAAGTAAGAAATCTATCGACAAATTTATAGTAAAACCGTATGATTAAACTTGCTCTTAAGCAAAAGCGACGTCATCAATGAAGTTTACGGATAGTGCACGAACAAGACTCCTCTGACTTAAGTCAGATGTACATAGCCACTAACGTGTGAGCCCATAAAGATAGTCTCCCCTGTCAGGGACCATGTCTCTCTGATTTTAAGCCTGAGGAGATCGCTCCGGTAGTACACCAGTGTGCTTGTACTATGGGTCGGTACTTTTTTTGGCGTGAGATAGGATTGATCTGCTGGCTGGTGATGTTGATCGAGGCGTCGTCCGCGTGGTGGTGCTGGGTGGGGTGTGGCTCCGTGTGTGACGGGGGTCAAGTCGTCGCCTGGACCCCAGCCGCCGCCCGCGACTCGGCGGCGAGCTTTGGTTTGACTGGCCAAGCCTTGTTTCTTTGTGATCCGCGGGTCGAGGGAGTCGCTTGCCAGAGTCCAAAAGGACACCGCGATTTTTGCGAAGCACCGCGCCTGGTGAGTCAGACAGTCACGCACGACGAGAGGGAGTTGTCCCCGGGTCAGATTGGCATGGGAATCGTCGGTCGTCTTCTCTTTACCTTAACCTGATTTGAGTGTTCCAGTTTCACTGCGCACGGTGCGAGACCGAGGTCCGTCGAAAAACGTCGCTAGCTGTTTCTGTTGGCCAGTCACGGTCACCAGGGGAATTCGCCCAGCCATATATGGCTTGGCAAGCCGGATGGCAACTCCGTTGTAGTGCGTTTTTTTTTATTTCATAATTAGTAAAGTTTAGCTTCAGGAATGGGATAGAGAGACGGTTAGAGTTGCTGCATAAATCCCCTGTGATACTGCAAATATATTAATATTAACAGCGACTGACATATAGGCCAACCGAACCCTCTGGGTAACTGCACAGCTGCAGCCTACACCACCAAAATAACATTGGCTGTGTTTAGATCCAAACTTTCAACTTTTTCCATCACATCAACCTGTCATACACACACAACTTTTCAGTTACATCGTACCAATTTCAACCCAAACTTCCAACTTTGAAAGGAACTAAACACAGCCAATTATAGATCACAACATGCGCATGCGAAACTTCCATGTTGCAGGCACGACGTCCACTTCGCACACGGTAAAGGCGCATACCGATGCTGTCATGCCTCACCCTCACTCTTTTTGAACAAGGAATAATTAATTATTTGCCACTCTTACGGATGGTGATAAATGATTTACCACTGGACCCACATGTCATAGACACGTAAGGGCTCACATGTCATAGACAGCGAGTGGCAAATAATTAATTGCCACATCTTAAAAGTGGCCAAAAGTTAAATGTCCCTTTGAACAAAAGTAGAGCACCTGAAACTATGAAAGCAACAGTACAGTTAGCAACTTGGCACTCGACTGCATGTCCACAAGAAACCGTAAGCCGTAGAGTCACCTTTCAGTGAACTACATAGCTCTGTAGTAGAGATCACTGATTAGTTCATGACAACGAAACTGTACCTGTAATTCTTGCAGACTGAAGAATTGACATGAAGAAATGTTTCCATTCACGAGGCTGGCAGCAGGCTCAGTCAGTTACAAAAGACCTAAGTCAACAACTGGACTAAGATTTTCTTTACTGTTTTCCCTACAAAGCTGCATACATACAGATCAAAGAAAGGCCAGCATTGCAGTTCTACCCAACTATGAACATATGGCTGCTTGATTGGCAACATCGTGTTGTTTTGAAGGCCACCATGATTGCTGGGGCACTTCATTCTTCTATATTTCAGAGGCTGAAAGGTTCCGTAGATCAATATTTAGACCGCAGGAAGTTCCAGAACTTTTTTGTTCTGGAAATTGCAGCAGCACTTTCGATGGACCGACAAAAATGGTCAAATATTTAACATGCAATTCAAATACTCGAGGTATTTGGCAACTGATCAAGCCGGCTGTTCAGTATTTGGTGAGCTCGCGCACTTCGGTATTGCAGTCGCTGGTGTAGTGCTTCTGACATTTGATCAAAAAAATCAGGATCCCATCTCTGAATTAAACGGGGATCCTCAGCATAGCATATGTATATCGATGTAACTGCACTTTCGACAACTACAACAGTTACCCCAACCTGAAAGGGGGAAAAATCAATCAACTCAACATGATCCAACAGGGGTCATAGTAGAGAAGTCCTGCTGTGTGACTCCTAGCAATATTCTATTGAATTTGTCCAGTAAGAGAAATCCTTGTTTCCTTGTAAATTTCAATTAGATTTTGCATGACCATAAGAACTTACCAGTATCATGCCCATCAGCATAGAGGTTGAGCCAACCATAATAGCTTTATCACTTTGTTTAAAATATGTCCAAACACCCGTACATGTTCCTGTAATTAACCCACCTAAAATGGTGCTCATCAGAAGGACAGCACCTGAACAGTCATAAGCAACAAGTGCTTCAACGCCAGTTGATTGGAACAACTCCCAAGCATCCCTAGCTGAGCGATTGAAACTCTGGCCATTGATAGCTATCTGAAAGTGAAAAGTATGTGAGACATTTGTGCAAGCCCAATAGGATATCAGTAATTTGATATAGTAATATCCATACAGTGATATTGATTCACAAAGCATACAAATTGGTGTAACATCAATCCAGGTAAGGTATCGGGTATCCATGTGCACTTTGACAGTTTGTATAGTAAAGTTGAACTTATTAATAGCTTAAGGAAACATTTAAAGTTCTATCAGTTCAGAACATAAATGATAAAGTGGCAAACACATCGAACAGGGACAGTTTTGGCATTGGCATGAGATTATCAAAACTTCCACAAAGATAAAACATCTGTCACTGACCTGTACATATGCATATTTGTTGAAGAAGCGAACAAGAGTTTCCACGATATGAAACAAAAAGTCAACACAGCACAGCAAACACTCATTGTTGCCTATTTTAGAACGAATTCCTCGAATCTGAAAATTAGTTAAAAAAATAAGAAAAGGGAAAATTAATATTTTATTGAGAGAATGACAATAAAACATGGTAATCTGAAAATTTCATGCGGCGAAACTCTGTTAAGGTAAAGGTACAAACCTCCCAACGTAAAGTCCTAATAGCAGCCGTAAAAAGTGATCCATAGCAAATGCTCCCAAATGAAGTTGTTACAGCGTACTGAAGTGATTTTAGAAGTGGTTTTGGGGGCATCGATGCAGCAGCTTGACCACCATGAATGAGAACAAGAAAAACCATCCCTGATACTATGACATGGACTGTGTTACTAAGGACAGCTCCAGTCCAAAATAAACTGACTGAGAAAATCTACAGATTACAAGTGAAACAATCAGAAAATATATAAAGAATAGGAAAGACGTTGAAATTCGATATAGAATAAACAAAACTTGCCCGCTCACCAAAAGAGCCCACCATTGCCCTCCATTAGGTATGTGAAAAGCAAGAATGCCAGACACTCCAAAGGACCATAATGCCATCCAACAAAGCATGACTAACACAAATGCATATGCTATCCTCATCACATCAGGAAGTTCCCATACCATTCTTACTGCCTTCTGCAATACAAGCATTGTGAAGGGGAACCTAGCAAAAACCAACCCAATTAATGCCATTGGAGATAAACGGGGTATGTATTTTTGCAGCAAATATAATGTTTATGAGAATAGAAGGGGTTATTTCTCATGATTTTAGCATAGAATGGAAGGAACAATTTTAGCATAAGAATTCCTTATGAAACCAAACCAGATATTTTCAGGGCTTAAATAGTTTTCTTCCACAGACAGCCATGACATGCAAAAAGGTTGCCATAAGACATCCATGTTAACACCTAATGTTCACAACAAACTTTTACCACCTACAAAGTTTGTAAACCTAGCTAAATTCTGTGAGTTGAAGAAAAAACAGTTGCTGTCAAATTTTCCACTGATAACATGCCGGCTGATATTGGATGACAAAATATCAATAATCAGTGGGAACATTTACAACCTACAAATATAGTAATAATACTGTTTGTCTGTTTGATACTGGTTTGGGACATAAGCTGATTATTGCAGAGTAATCTATAGAATAGTTGTTTTGTTGAAGTGACACTGTCCATTAATGTAATTTTGCCTAAAGATCTGGTTTTACTCACAAAAGCAATTATTTTCCCATATATACAACGTTATTTGAAAACAGGTTATCAAACTAAATTTGCACATTGCATTGTATGATGTCTCTGGCAAATACCAAAAAAGGAAGCTTGAACTGTATTTAAAAAAAAATGCTTGACCAGTGGGTTTAAGACAGCCCGTGACATTCAACTAAGTTGAGAAAAATCCCCCAGACCGCAGTTGAGCACACTCAACTTCTCGTGGGGAGCACGCTTCTACCAGTGCCTGCGAGGGGGGATGTTTTTTGGGCAAAACCTGGGTTCAAGCCTGGGCCGGCATCCCCTCTACTGGAGTCTCTACCACTGCGCCGCAAGCGCGTTTACAAAGCTTGAAATGTACAAAAAAGGATTGTGGAAAACCCATTCCATTTATCACATTTCAATGTTCAGAAGTTATTTAGATATTCATTGTCCATTGGTAAGTTTCATTTCCATCATGGTGTAGAGCGCACTACATGGATAAAACAGAAATCAATAGCATCTTGTCCTCATGTACAATCCTACTGGGAAATGTACAGAATTTGTAAACAAATGTACATCAATAACAATTAACTCCAACAATTCAAACATGTACAATCCTACTGGGTACACAGAATAGCAGAGACAATCTGCAACACCTGCTTAAATCTTACTCCCTCTGCTTTTTTATTTGACGTTGGTTAGTTCAAACAATATCAAGAATGGAGGGACTACTATGTACGCACGCACCAAAAGAATGGCATGATCCCTGACATTGTAGTTTCTTGTACATCTTTACAGCATTTGTAGGCACTAAAGCCTAAAAGCAACACTAGCCCATGCTTAAACCGTGTGCTACCATCCAAATCAAGTTAACTCTAAAAGAGTGTGAAGAAACAAAGCACTAGCATTGCACACCCATACATATGGGTGCACCTGTTGGTAATGGGAACCGACATGGACACGCGCCAACAGCCTAGTAAAATTCTTATAAAAGAGAGCTGCGCAATTCATCGATTTCTCCAGTGGCAGGAATTTAGCTTCTGTCGGTGTCAGCATCATATGAAGTATGAACCCTCACCTACTCAAGTCTAAGTTTGCCTCGAATTGCATACGATTTCTAATTTTGTGCAGGACATTTGAGAAGACAAAAAGGGCAGTTGCTGTGCATTATTATTACCTATCAAGAACTGACATGACGTAGAGGAAGTGCAGCGCTCCGCCGACGGCGAACGCCACGCCCCAGAAGAAGTGCTTCCCCCAGAAGCAGAGCACGCTGACCACCGCGAGGTAGGCGGTGAGGCTGTGCACGGCGGCCCTCATGACCACCCTCCCCCCGTCCTTCTTCCCCGCGGCCGCCGCCAGCCACGCCCACGCGAGGGCGGTCCCCACGGCCCCCGCGGCGCCGTAGTAGGGCCAGTACGACTCCGTGAGCTCGGACTTGGGGGTGACCTCCTCGGCCTCGAGCGACGGCGGCGGGGGCGCCTCCCGAGCGGGCTCCGGCGACCCGGCGAAGCGAGGCGCGGCGGTGAGGTTGGTGAAGCGGTCGATGTTGAAGCGGTCCGCCTGGCCGAAGCGGTTGAGCCCCGTCAGCGCGAGCGCCCCGCCGAAGACGAGCAGGTGGAGCAGGAACACCACCAGCCAGAACACGTCCCGGCACCGCCGCCTCGGCCACGCCGCCGCCCCCACCCCCACCCCCGCCGCCCCAGCCACCGCCGCCGCCGCCGCAGGCCCCGCGGGGCAGGGGCTAGGGTTCGCGCTCTCCCCCTCCGACGACGACATCGCTCCCCGCCCCGCCCCGCCGGAGATCAGCAGCAGCGGGGACCGCACCGCACCGCACCGGAGCGAGGGATCAGCCGCGAGCGGATCGCGGGGAGGAGGCCGGAAGCGGAGGGGATGACTTGGAGGAGAAGAAGAGGATGGGGAGGAGGAGTAACTGCTCGGCAGTAGTAGAAGCGAGGCAGTAGTAACCGTTTCTGGTCATCGACGACGGCGACGACTCGCGCTGAAACTGTGAGAACTGGGAAGCGATGGGCGATGGCGACGTCGCGGCGGTGTGGGGTGTTTGGGGATTTGAGGGGAAAGCCGGGGAATTTCGGGGGTTTTGCTGTTGGGTTTGGGGGGCCGGGCGGAGCGCGACCGGCACCGCCCCCTTCCTCCGTCCGTCGCTGCGCCTGGTTGGTTGGCTTTGTGGATTCTAGAAGCAGCAGCCAGCATCTCAAAGCAAGTGGCAGTTGGGATTGGAGAAGGCGAGGCCTTGGTGGTGGCGTGGTGCCAGTTCGGAATTCTGATGCGCCCCGCTGCACGAGAGGAGATTCCGCGACGGCAACTCCCAACTTCTTCGTCCGTCGTTTCGACTCCCCGATTCGGCGATTCGCTACCGGGGATCCAAATCCATATCCACGGCGTTTGTGTTCGTTTAACCTGCAACGTTTGGCACCGTTCGAACGTGACACCGTCGATCTGTCAGTTACTCTCGGTGTCACCGTCAAGAAACTACGGTGAAGTTGGAATTTTTTTCCATTTTTAAATTTTTTATTTTTAATATTTATAGAAATATTGTACCGGCGAAAATTTTTACAAAAGTATACCCTGCCGAGGGCGGCAGTGTGACATGAGGGACGAACAAGATAAAAAAAACCTAGAAAAATGCATCTTTGGTAGGGCGAAAATTGCATTTGCCCCTTTACAGCCCTTGCAGAGGACGGCAAGGGACCTCAGTGCAAAATGCGCACACCTTGCCGTCCTTCACTTGGGCGACAGAGGCCATTTCTGTAAATATTTTGGATGGTATAATATTTTTGTAAATATTAAAAAATAAAAATTTTAAAATGAAAAAAATTCGGTGAAGTTGATGTGACATCGATGGGCCGAAGACGAGACGGTTTTCTGAGCCAGGCCTACTACTGGGCGAATTCTGGAGAACGGCCCACTGGAGTACTCTCTGTCTCTCTCCCACTGGACAGACCGGGCTCAACGCAGACACGGAACGGAGCCAGCCATGGTGAGGTCGGGGCAGGCGTCATGTGCCCCTGACACCTGGGCCCCCCCGCGACATCATCCTCCAGTCACGTCGTCCTCCTCCACCTCGGGTCCCCAACCTTTTCAACCACACCCACCCAACACGCCATGATGAGGGCAGCAGACAAGTGGGTCCCACCAAACAGTGTCGACGGGTAGATGCGGCTAGCAGCCGTAACAATCCGGGCCCACCTTATCACCAACGCGGAGTCACCCGAGCCCACATCGCGTGACCTCACTGACATGTGGGGCCCAGACGGTTAACTGCCGGTGGGACCACGGAAACAGAGAGGGCGGGGGAGAGGTGGGGCCAAGGCTCCACCTGTGCGTGGAAACCTTTTGGACTGCTTTGGTGTGCCCAGCTTTTTATGGGGGCAGGAGCGCGTCCGGAAATAGAAACATCTCGCCGAATTTGAACTCCACCTGAGCACAGGAGAAGCCGCAGCCACTGAGGTAAACTGCTCCTCCTCGCCGATTTCCCCCCTCCTTTTTCTCTAATACCAAATTACTCGAGAAATTGTGTTGGTTCGGTCCGCGGGTAGCGTGATTCGGCCAGATCTGGCGTCTGTGTGTGTGGAGAATTCGAGGGTTTTGTTTGGGTTTGTGGGGGGAGTAAATCCGGACGAATCTGTGGTGGTTTGGGGGGGAATTCGGTGTGTGTTTGAGTTGATTTGAGTTCGTGGATGATTCCGTTGGATATTGATAGGTCCTAGTTCTGATCCAGAAGTGGCGGCTACGCCTTTGCTGTAGCCTCACCGATCCGCCGCCGCCGCCGCCATGAAGTTCCGCTCTGATTCGTCAGGCGGCGACGAGCCCCGCGCTCCGGCTGCCGGCGACGGCGGCGGCGGCGGCGACGAGCCGGCCAAGAGGCAGCGGACCGATCCGTCCTCCAGTTCGAGCCAGGGCGAGGCCTCCTCTTCCTCGCAGCCGCCACCGCAGCAGCAGCAGGAGGAGCAGCCTCCGGAGGATGCGGGAGAGGGCGAGCAGCCGAGGGTTCCGGATCTCGGGGAGGACCTGGTGTTCGAGGTGCTGCGGCGAGCGGAGGCGCGGACGCTGGCGGCCGCGGCGTGCGTGAGCAGGGGGTGGCGGCAGCTCGCGGAGGACGAGCGGCTCTGGGAGGCCGCGTGCGTGCGGGAGTGGGCGAACCTCGGCTTCTCCGAGCGGCAGCTCCGGGCCGTGGTGCTCTCCCTCGGTGGATTCCGCCGGCTCCACGCTGTCTACATCCGCCCCCTGCAGTGGCGTGGCGCCGGCGTGCCCAGGCAACAGGGGAGGCGGCAGCCGCCGGTGAGGTTGGGCCGGGACCAGGTTCAGCTCTCGCTGTCACTGTTCTCCATTGGGTTCTTTCAGAATATGCCTTGTCCTAAGAAAGACAAGGGAAATGACAGTGATAAGAATGGAGGGGGCCAATGCGGGTAGTCGAATTTGTGGAATAAGCTTCACTCCAACAAGCATCATCCTAAGCTACCATGGCAGTTGCCCTATTGTTCACACTGGTGATGCTAGAGAGTGTTGGAGAGACGAACAGGAAAATCGGCATGCTTGATTTGGGACATGAGAGAAATTAAGTGGAATTGCAAGATCTGAATTGGTTCGGTTGTGTTCCGCACTTGTAAGATTTATGTGATAGTGTCACATGGATTGATGGACGTTGAGTGCTATGAGGACAGTTGCGTGAATGCTGATGACAAGTGATTTACTTCAAGAGAAGGGAGAAATGGTTTGCAATTCGTTCTGCTGTTGCTGATATTCTAGTTATCAGCTATTGTGTCAACTTGATATATCTGGCCCAAGAGCAGTATGGACTGTGTGCCTTCTTGCGCCGGTACCAAGCTTTAGAGGGAAAGCTGATGCAAATAGCTTTTGTTTGCATAACCTTTTTCAATTAGGGAAACATAATTTCCCATATTAGGCATATGGAGAATTATGTGAGGTATTGATTGTTTGTACAAAAATAACCATTTTATTCTTGAATATTGCATTTTCACATGTTAACTAAGGTTCTTAAGTTGATCTGACTGCCATGTACAATATGGAGCCCAACAAGGGGTAGTGACACATATTTCTCAACTTCAGTATGCAATAAGTCAGTCATTTTATATGTTTTTACATGTGGAGCTGCGGATAATGTGACAAACTTATGTAATCGTGAATGATCTTTTGATGTTTCTCTGTTTTTCTTTCATGTAGTTTGATATAGGATTCCTTTATCTGGCACTATTGAAGTTTTGTTGTAAATAATGTTATTCTTGCAAAGATTATCTTAAATCAATCATTTCTGGATCTGAAGAGGTATTGTAACAATCTGAAGCTTTGCACAACCAATTGCAACTAAACTTTTGTATTTCTTAGGGTGAGGACTTGAGGTTGGTGTGATGGGCATTTAGCTAACTGAAATTTCTCTCAAACCTCACAGATTTGACCTTCTGTTTCTACCAGAAAAACACAAACAGTGAAGATGTCGCAGCCTGCTGAGCTTTCCCGTGAGGAGAATGTGTACATGGCTAAGCTTGCAGAGCAGGCCGAGAGGTATGAGGAGATGGTTGAGTTCATGGAGAAGGTTGCTAAGACAGTTGACTCTGAGGAGCTCACTGTTGAGGAGCGCAACCTTCTATCAGTTGCTTACAAGAATGTTATTGGTGCTCGCCGTGCGTCATGGCGCATCATATCATCCATTGAACAGAAGGAAGAGAGCCGTGGTAATGAGGATCGTTGCACGCTCATCAAGGAATACAGGGGAAAGATTGAAACTGAGCTCTCCAAGATCTGTGATGGCATCCTCAAGCTTCTTGACTCCCACCTTGTGCCTTCATCCACTGCTCCAGAGTCCAAGGTCTTCTACCTCAAGATGAAAGGCGACTACTACAGGTATTACAATAGTTCCTGGCATAGCAGTCTTTAATTTCTATTTCTTTATATTGTCAAGTTCATGTGTTTGAATGTATGTGTTTGATAGGTACCTCGCAGAGTTTAAGACTGGAGCTGAGAGGAAGGATGCTGCTGAGAACACCATGGTGGCATACAAAGCCGCTCAGGTGGTTTCCTTAACAGTGAATTTGTTGTTGCGGCATCCTGTTTGTTTGTTTGTGCCATTTTGCAATTTTGATTCGGGGTATTCAGCTAAAGTTATTTGTGATGTGTTCTCCTTTGGTCTGTTTTGTTTTTCTGAATATTGTTGGTGATAAAATCTTTCAGGATATTGCCCTGGCAGAGTTGCCCCCAACTCATCCTATCAGACTTGGGCTGGCCCTCAACTTCTCGGTGTTTTATTACGAGATCCTCAACTCTCCTGACCGTGCTTGCAATCTTGCAAAGCAGGTTTAATTTCTACTGCATTCTATTTCATTATTTGTGAATTGGAGGACCATATGGAGTTGAGAAGATATTTTGAAGTTTATACCATTGTTGTGAAATATAATGTCTTAGTAATTGGGATTGAACAAATAACATGTATGAATTAGTAATACACCTGGAACAGGTTCTACTTAGTTCTGTTAGCAAATAGCAAAGTGTAGGCTCCTTAATGCAAGTAAGCTGAACGGGTTAGGTGCATTGTCATGATGGATTTTCTTCATTAAGAATACTTGATAGAAAATGATGAATCAAATAAGAGGTGTAAGAAATTATAGTTTACAGTTACAGATTTGCCCACCTTGAATACTTGAGTGCTTCTAAATAACTGATGAAGTCCGAGCATCACTATGGCCATTGTGACGTGGAACAAGCTTGTCTCAATATGGCCATCGTTCATTCATAGAGGCCTACCAGTTTGTTCTGTAATTTGTTAATAATAGATATCTGATGTATATAGAATGGTTTACTGCAGACAAGTTTGCTATAAGTTCACTGCTTTGTCCATGGATATAATTGATCTTGGACTTGGAGCACACATTATGTGCCTTACTTTATGAAACTTGCTTGTGCTAGTACTTATATTTGCCATCATAATAGAATGTGACAGTAACCTACTTTATCTCAGGCTTTCGATGAGGCTATCTCAGAGCTGGACACTCTGAGTGAGGAATCCTACAAGGACAGCACTTTGATCATGCAGCTTCTGCGTGATAACCTGACGCTGTGGACTTCCGATATCTCGGTATTTTCTTCGCCGCTAGCATATATATTTGCACTTGCATCATATTGTCTTTGGAATCATCTTAAATGCGTAAATTCCATGTGTGCGGCTTCAGGAGGATGCTGCTGAGGAAATCAAGGAGGCCCCCAAGGGCGAATCAGGAGATGGACAGTGAACATGATCGAATGCGTGCGCCCACAAACTAGAATAGTGACGCTGCAAATGTGCTGTGGGTTATCGTTTCATTTTATAGATTGTAATGTCTCGTGATTTGTCGGAAACAGGAGGCGCTCCCCATTTATGTTGTGCTAGGAAACCTTGCAGCTGACTCGCTGCTTGGCTGGTGGATTCTCGAGCTGCACTTTCTTTGGGGGGAGCCTCAGGGTGGAACCTTCATGTCACTTATTGGATCGATTGTTTTCGGTATGTCAGTTGTGAGCCTTATCTCCAGAGTCCACAGTCCTGCCAAGTGCCCTGCTTGAGTGTTTTTGGTTTCTTCGATGTAAATCCCGTTGTGTGCACGATGGTTCTTGATTCACCACACATTGTTGTCTACATTGCCAAAACGTATGCTTCAAGTGCCCAAAAGGCCGAAGCGGTCCGAGAAACATTATTCTGTCAGGTATGTGTGATAAGCGGTTTCATATGCAACAATGCTGTAGGGACCCAAATGTTCACTGGCATCATGTACAGATACTTGTAGTACCAAAATTAGTTTAGCAGATATAAGCACCAGTGGTGTGGTTATGGCCTTATGGATTATTACGCACACACGATTATGCCATCACTAGAAATTTAGTGACTAAGATTTACTAATGACTTCTGCGTCCACTCAACGTACAAATATTGTAGTTTTCTAGATGATTTTTTTATTTTCTATAAGACTCATCAAAAAATATTATATTTGATAGGATCCCTTGAAATTTTTAGTTGTGTTTTTCATGAGAATGAGCAACTAAACATAACTAAGCATAGGGGTGCCTTCTGCTTGAAAATTTTTATCATTAAAAAAATGGGGTTTTCTTCTTCAAGTTTGAATATTTAATTTCTTTCTTTTTTCTACAACATTTTAAAAGTTGGCACTAAAGAAGACAATTATTATGCAAAGAAGATAATACATCTATTTCAATCCTACCAGAATGGAAAGCTCTGGAAGCTGTTAAATCTTTTTTTCCCTTTTTTTACCTTGCTTCCAGATTGTGGCCCCGACGATGGTGTCACCTTTTCTATTTTCTTTTACATTTGGAGCTTAAGCATCTCTATTGTTTTATTTGAGCTCCGATTCTAGAGACATTCTTAGCATCTAGAAAATATTTTTTATTCCAATAATGTCATTATTTATTTCATATTTTATTATATTTTCTTTATTTTCTTTCCTAATTTTTATTTTGCAATTTTTCAGAAGGTGATGTTTATTTTAGTAGTAGTATTGTTGAAGGATCTAGATGTTACCGGTTTAATTTATTGAGAATTAGTATAGAAGTTTCTGGAGAGACTATAAGCTGCAAGAAAGCTTGAGCTCTGTGGCATCTTTTCTTGCTCCATTTGTGTTTTTTTTTTCACAAAAGAGTCTATCATTTATCTTGGAAGCTAGATGCGCCAAGTGAACCAATCAGCTGGCTGGATCTCCAACCAGCTTTAGAAGTATAGCTCCGTTACAGGTTATAAGACGTTTTGACTTTGGTTAAAGTCAAACTATTTCAAGTTTAACTAAATTTATAGGCAAATATAATAATATTTATAATACTAAATTAGTTTCATCAAATCAATAATTAAATATATTTTCATAATAAATTTGTCTTGGGTTGAAAATGTTACTAATTTTCTCTATAAACTTAGTCAAAGTTAAAACAGCTTGGTTTTGACCTTGAAACGTCTTATAGTAGTTTTTTTTTATGGAACCGAATTCTGGAAGGAGTAGGTTGTAAACAGCCGCCGTTTGCCATATACATATCCAAATCGCAAGTCTCCCGCCATCGCATTGCCCGCCGAAATAGCCTCCCTGCACATCACGCATTCACGTTCGCACGCAGAGCCAGGTAAAACGGTCACTACCCGCCACGCCGGCGGCCGGCCGCCGCGCCAACTTTGCACCGGTTTGATGTAATGATGTGTGCAGTGGTGGAGGCGCCGCCGCCGCCGCCGCCGGACGAGACGGAGGGCCAGCAGGCAGGGGGCGACGATTCGTCGGGCGGCGGCGACCGGCGGAGAGGCGCCGCCGGCGCCGGCCGGCGCGTGATCGCCGCGGTGGCTTTGGGCGGAGCAGCCTCCGTCGCCGCGCTGCTTCACGTTTTCTGATGATCTCGCACGGCAACAGGCCGATCAATTATTATTATTATTATTTTTCAGCTTCTTTAGACTGTCAGTGCCTCCCAGTAATTTAGCGGTAGAAGATATGCAATGTGGCAATGCAAATGAACGGTTATCGATGGTTAATTTCTTTCGACGTAAACATGCTTATCGATGGTTAATTTCTTCATGTAATCAGGTTTAGATGAGACCTTGAGGTTGAATATGTCGTTCGGCTTGTGATGCGAACATCCCAGATTCAAAAACATCAAGCAAAAGAGCTATAGTTTCAGCCAAGAAGTCCAAATGGGAAGCATCATCAGACTCGCTATATTTCCCTGATTTTTCAGGTACCACAACTCGCAGCTCAGGTTTTCTAGCTCTGATCAATAAGAACCAGATACAACATACAAGGCACGGTCGGAAGCAAAAGCTAGTTTTCTTCATGCTGGAGAAGTGACTCAACTAAAAGCTTCCAGAGTTCATGGATTGGATGCCAAATGTTTACATCGGCTGCAGATTAATTTCCATGGAGAGCCACGATTGTTCTACTCACCTTAACATTCTACGGCTCTTGGACGTCAGATACATATAATACACAGCAATTTTTTACCTTGTAATGAATCGATTTTTGATCTCATTGTGGATGGCCTAATGGCTCGACAGCGGTTCTGAAGAGAAGAACGTAGACCTTGTCGACGGAGAAGTACAAGAAGCCTCCCACAGAGTGGGTGACATAGGAACCAAAGCCTGTACCAACAATGCAGTGCCAAGCAGGACCATATGTTGCGTCGAATTCCTGCAAGAAAATGAAAAACCACATTAACAATGGCTAAGACATTTCATCCTAGTTGGCTCAGTGAAAAATAATGTAAAACGTAGTGTTCAAAAGGAAAAATAATAATACAGTAGGGAAGTTGCTACAAACTTTAACCTAAGGTGCAACCGTGCAAGTGCAACCGATATTCTGAGCATTAGCATTCTGTAGTAACCAACCATCCATATGAGAACCACTTGTACATAGCCAGTTTAGGAGCACTGAGAATCAGAGCTTACAGACATGCACTCTGAACTTTTTTGTGTGAACCTTGAACAAGCTGAACAACAGAATTCGATGGAAGGTGCTGGGAAATATGATTGGCAATTAGGACTAAAAAAATGTGCCCTAATTTTCATCTGCCTTTCAGGGATATCTAAATTTCATATAGTTTTTTTTTTCATGTGATACATAAATGCCTGATGAAAAAATTATTTCAAGTAGCAGGTGCCTTTGGGCATGAGTATTTATTTAACATAGGAGGTTTGCTATAAAAGTATCATTCCTACAAAAGGTGTAAGACTGCAGAAAATCTTGTTGGGTCAAGCGGTCTTCTGACTTCAGATAGGGCTGCAATTTTGTAAGTAACTCTTCTTCTTAATACAATGATGCGCAAATCATTTGTGTATTCTCAGAAAAAAGACTGCAGAATATGACGAAGTAAACACAGAAATATTCTTTTGCACCACATCCACAGGTAAGAGTTAAGATGTTGATAAGTTAGCACGTTGAGGTTATTAAGAAGGATAGGCAGACCTCTAAGTCGAACTGTCAAAGTAGTCATAAGTAAAAGCAAAATACTGTTACTTCTTCTAGACAAAGTATTTTTTTTATTCAGGCTTCTACACAAGGAATGCACTTTACCATCCATTATTACATTGTTTTAGCCATATGTTGACGACCAATGCTAACAAATAGCACTCATTCACAAAATTGAAACCTTGAATGAAAACCATCTAACTACAAAGCAAAATATTGTGTACCTAGATGGCATGCATCCATTTTTTAAGCAACCAATTTGCGTACCTCTTTAGAGGATGCATTTAGTTAATCTACCATTGAGCACACAGAAGTCTAGATTGCTCTCAGATTCTTGTAATCAACAAATTTCTAGAAGATCTGTTCCACATTTTAATGCTCAGGTAATGAGCTACTCCGGCTAAAATATAAAATCAGACAAAGCAAAAGGATCAGATGGTGTGAACAACAACATATATGAATGGGAAATTCTGTTAGGGGAATGGCGAAGAATGAATCTTACAACACAGGGGTAAAACAAAAGCCAGCTTCTGAGCTTCACGGGTCACAGCTAACAAATGCTGGATGTCACATGTGTTAGGCTAAGCTGTCACAATTGCATTTCTGGTATATGATTCTAAAGTAGCTTTTCCCCTATCCAATGTTGGGACCAAATGATAACACATCTCTAACAGAAACAGAAAATTTTCAACCATAGTCACTTTCTTCAAGATATCCCTTCCAGTTATTTATAATAGAGATGCTGGCATTGCACCTGTCTATCTATTTTTGCTAAACTAGCCTCAAAGACATCGTTTTCCTTTTCCCATTTTCCTGTTTTTAAGGTTCCCATCACTAGCCACCTCCTTGCTTGAGTTGTGAGGCTATATATTTCTTGAGAAAATTCCCAATATACCCCTGAAAATTTACTCAATCCCTTCAATACCCCTGAATTTGACATCATCCCTTATATACCCCTGAGTTTTCATTTTGATCTCCTCTATACCCATCTCCGTTAGTTGATCATTAGTTGACCGTTAAATATTTTAAAATAACTATATTACCCATCCTATACAATGGTACCTACCTAATAAATTTTCATATGAAAAAATTAACTTATACAAAATACAAGCAATATAATCATTTAATGCCCAACTTAAAAAATAAAACTTATTATTTTTTATTTTTTAAAACTTATGATTAAATCCATACATTAGTTTCACCAGAAAATTAAGAGCAAAAACTAAATGTTATTTAGGTTTAAATTTTAAATTTGTTTTCTAATTTGTGATAAACTAATTACATCCCCTTTGTTTTTTCGCAACAAATCTTTTTTCACTAAATATTTGTTGAAAAGTAATTTTGAAATTTTATGCAGAACTTTTTTTACAATAAATCTTTTTTATTTTAATGAAATAATTTTTTATTTTTAAAAATTCATAACAAATATTTAGTAATTTTCCTTATTGGTTTTCACAACTCAAATAATTTACACATAAAACATTTCTAGCTTTTAACAATATACCAAGGACAACAAAGTAATTTCTACAATAACTAACGGTCAAACTAATGGTCAACTACGGAATGGGTATGTAAGGGATCCAAATAAAAACTCAGGGGCATATAAGAGATCAAACAAATCTCAGGGACGTAGAAGGGATTGGGTGAAATTACATGGGCACGTAGGGAATTGGCCCATATTTCTTGCCCAAATTTCTCAATCCCCCAACCATATTCTTTACTACTCCCTCCGTTTCGAAATGTTTGACACCGTTGACTTTTTAGCACATGTTTGGTCGTTTGTCTTATTCAAAAACTTTTGTGAAATATGTAAAATTATATGTCTACATAAAAATATATTTAACAATGAATCAAATGATATGAAAAGAATTAATAATTACTTAAATTTTTTGAATAAGACGAACGGTCAAACATGTGCTAGAAAGTCTAACATGTGCTAGAAAGTCAACGGCGTCAAACATTTTGAAACGGAGGGAGTACAAATTTACCACCCCAATACTGCACTGTGCCACTGTCTACGTGTACTCGAATAGCTTGAACAAACTGTAGCCAATGGCGAGACGGATGGTTTTACCTTCTTGAGGGCGAGGGCGAGGCGCTTGCTGTCGAGCCGCGGCATGGCGGCGACGGCGTCGAAGGCGAGGCGGACCGCGCGCCGCTGCATCGCCAGCGGCATGTCGGCCGCGCGCACCCGGACCGACACCTTCCTCTCCTCCTTCCCCTTCTCCATCTCCTTCTCCTTCCCCTTCCCCTTCCCAGCTTGGCCGCCACCGCCACCCCCTCCCTTGACCTCCCTCTTCTCCACCACGGCGGCCACCGCCGCCGGCTTCTTGGCGGCCTCCTCGACTCGCTCCGGCTGCGGCTCCATCTCCAGCTGCAGCTTCGTCTCGGGCTCCGGGGGAGGCGTGGGCGGGGGCGGGGCGAGCGCCGGCGCGGCGTGGAGCTTGGTGCGGCGGATGAGCGAGCTGAGGTAGCGGCTGCGCTGCTCGAGCTCCTCGGACGCCGGATCCATGGCGGGCGTGGGCGTCGGAGTCGTCTTCTGCTGCTCTTCCTTCCAGGGTGCGGGGACGCGCGCGGGGCGTCGTGCTCACCTGAGGCGGCGGCGGCGGCGAGCGTTGGTCACCATCGCTGCCTGCGCCGCTGCGCGGTGGTGGGGGGAATGGAAATGGAAGTGGCCAAATGAGAGGTCGTGGTCAAAGCACAGGAGAAGTAGTAGCGCCGGTTCACGAGACGAGGCGGTGTGGGGTCCGTTTCCCCTGGCCTTTTCCCGATGGTGATTGGTGACCCGGCGAATGTGGTGAGCGAGACCGGTTTGAAACTTTGAACTCCTAACGAACGTGGTGATTCGTTGAGGCCTTGAGGGGATTGTCGCAGAAATAGCTACATTTTGTAACTGAGAGTACTCCCTCTATTTTTCAATAGATAATATTGTTGACTTTTAAATATATATTTAATTATTTATCTTATTTAAAAATTATGTGTAAATATATAAGATATAAATCGTACTTAAAGTATTTTAAGTGATAAAACAACTCACAACAAAATAAATTATAATTACATAATTTTTTAAATAAAATGAATGGTCTAACATAGAAAAAAAGTCAATAGTATCATCTATTAGTATGTCATTGTGAACTGTGGAGTTGTTTCGAGCTGGCATTTTTACTTTATGTTCAGTGCTACTGTGCGAGCAACACGAATGGATACAGATCAGGTATAGTTGTACTTGTATGGATTCTTATCGGAATTTTAGCTCTTAAATTTAACTTGAAGAACTAGTTCGAAGTGGAGTTGTGAAGTAGTTGAATCGCGCTCTATATCTTTCATTTTGTGGGAACACTCCAGCAGTCCAACTCGAGCATTATTTAGGACTTGTTTAGTAGAGCTCCAACTCTTAAATTTAGCTCCAAGAGTTGAGTCTGGAGTGGAGTTGTGGAGCTTCCTAAACCCATCTCCACCTTTCTAGTTCATTTTGTGAGAGCACTCCACCCAGCTTCGCTCCCATTTTAGGTGGAGCTGGAACTGGTTCATTTTGTGAGAGCACTCCACCCAGCTCCGCTCTTATTTTAGATGAAGCTAGAACTGCTGGAACTGGTTCATTTTGTGAGAGCACTCCACCCAGCTCCGCTCTTATTTTAGGTGGAGCTAGAACTGTTTGGCTGGACTCTAGCTCAGGAAAGGTGGACTTGGAGCTAGAGCTGTGACAAACAGATTCTCAGACTCTAGCTCCAGAAAACTGTTTGTTTCGACTCTCTGGATGAGATGAGACTCTGCTCCTTTGTCTCCGGAATTCTCAATTTCAAGGCTTGTTTGGACATCCGAGTGTCATCATTGCAACAGCGCTCATATTTTCTAAACAAGCACAGAAGGTTACCAAAGAGATACTCTCTCTGTCCCAAAATAGCTCTAGGATTGAATTTAGTTTGGAACAGACGAGTACACCATAAAACAAGTTTTCGATGCCAGTATGCTCCATCAGTCCATCATCGAACTTCCATCCCTCAAGAGTTCCCAGAATAAACATTAGCAATTTAAGATCACATAAAAGCCAAATGGCTTCAAAATGTAGACTAAACTACGATGGGTAAAGAAAACTGGGCTCTTCTGACATTTTGCCTAATCTTGTGCATAAACTACATAACATTGCTTAATCTCGTACATTAATTACATAAAAGAAAATCAACAGCAAGCAAATCATAAACCATACTTCTTCCCCCAATTAACATTAAGTACATACCAGAATCATGGCTGTGTTCTCCCCCCCCCCCCCTCCAACCCATTTTCCCAACCCACCTCTCTCATTTTCCGCGCACGATTTTCAAACTGCTAAATAGTGTGATTTATGCAAAAGCTTTCTATATGAATGCTGTTTTAGAAAATCATATTAATCCATTTTTCAAAAAAAAAGTTAATACTTAATTAATCATGCAATAAAATGAGCTTCATTTTGCATGCCAGGAGAAGGGGTTCCCAACCCCTCCTACCGAACACAGCCATAGCCACATCCAACTCCGTGTTTTTGAGTTTCAGAAACAGGCTTTACTATTTGTTGTGCAATGTGATCTAAAGCAAAATTCGTCACAGAAGGCAAAGCCCAATAACTAACTGTAATAAACGTTCTCAAATATAAATGCTCTCAAATCAACAACAGTGACAGTCTTACTACTGATTTAGACTGGAAGTTTGGAAGCTAACATTCCGGAAAAGTTTCAGATCAGTAAACTCGGCTAGTAACAATCTTACTGAGTACTGAACTACTGACCATGCTAATGCCACTAAGCAGCACACTACAGGATTTGAATTCAATGCCATGCTACCATAATTCTATTCATCGCATGGTCCTCAACGATCGGAGTAGTAATATACTCCCTCCGTTTCGTTTTATTTGACACCGTTGACTTTTTAACACATGTTTGACCGTTCGTCTTATTCAAAAACTTTTGTAAAATATGTAAAACTATACGTATGCATAAAAGTATATGTAACAATGAATCAAATGATAGGAAAAGAATTAATAATTATTTAAATTTTTTGAATAAAACGAGCGGTCAAATATGTGCTAAAAAGTCAACGGTGTCAAATAAAACGAAACGGAGGGAGTACTGATTTGATCATATTCAGATCAACCCATCAAAATGGGCCAACAAAGCGCAACAATGATCCCAGACAAAACAGATGTTTATGAAAAAAAAAAAAAGGTTCTCTATACATTGTTCAGTGTTTCTAGTGGTTCACTTAACCAAGAAAATGTACCACAGAACAGAAGAATACCAGGCAACCCTCATGATAACGGCAGATTGACTATCATAACAACAAAGAAGAGGGGGAAAAACAGCCACAATATCAACAAGGCAATGTAGAGCTTTAACCAGACAAACCCAATTAGAGCAAACAATTTCATAAACAAAGTTGCTTTAGTGCAAAATATCTGATACCTGCATTGCAATAGTCGAAGGATCACAAAATTCAACAGACTACCACAGGCGAGAGTGGGCTTGCCACAATTTGTAAAGAAATCAGGGGTTATCTGTTTTTTTTTTAACTGCCGAGTACATACAGTACTGTAGTTTTATTGCAGTTCATTAATTAACTGCATAACAAGGAAATCAACAAACAAATGATAAAATGGAAGTACACATTGCCATCTCCCTGCTTCCAATTTTTCCGAAACAGAGTTTAGAATTTGCTGTGTGACCGGAACTAATTCACATCTTTGTCGTGGAAAGCAAAAGTGCAAAACTAAATAACTGACTGAAGAAAATGTTTAAGTCAACAACGCTAACAGTCTTACAACCTTATCCCACCATCGACTGGAAGTTTGGAAGCAAGATAACCTCAAAATATTTCAGACCAGAGAACTCTGAGGCCAGTGCGAAGGTCACAAACTGAACATGTTAATCGCACTAAAGCATAAAACACACTACAGGATTCCAATTCAGTGACAATTAGCATAATTCCATTCATCACATACTCCACAACGTTCAGACTTCAGACTAGTGATTTAGACTAAGACTAACTTCAGACAAATCAATCAAAATGGGCAAACAAAAGCTGCAACAAACTGGTTATCTGAAAAAACAGGGGGTCTTCTGTTCTCTTTATATACATTGTTCGGTTCATTATTCCTAAGGGCACATAGATGCAATCCTCGTGATAAGGGCAGAAACATGTCAATCCAATGCTAAAAGAATTATCATAGCACAAAATTGGATAAAACATTCACAGCATCAACAAAGCAATGTAGATTTCTAAATATAAGATTCCTGCATTGCAGTAGTTGAAGGATCACAAAATTCAACAAATTGCCACATATTTTGGGCAAGACAAATGCAGCAATTGTTCGACAATTCATCTCCATCAGTGGAAAATTTATGGGATCCAATAATACCATGAAGTGATAATAAGATCTAAAAGGTAATGCAACTGACTAAAGGGAAAGATGATGATTCATTCACCGAGCGCCGCTGAGACCAAGCAGCATCTGGCTGCTGTCGCCGGCCGGGATGTACGAGACATTGGGGGAGCGCGCAAGCTCCCCGGCGATCTCCTTGGCGGCCTCGATCCTCCTGAGCTCGATCAGGCCGGTGCCCGCGGCGGCGGTGGCCTCGGAGATGAGGCGCGCGGCCTCGCTCTCCCCCTCGGCGCGGACGATGGCGGCGCGCCTCTCCTGCTCGGCGCGCGCGACGAGGAACCTGGACCGCTCGGCCTCCTGCTGCGCCACCTGCTTCTTCTCGACGGCCTGGGAGAACTCCGGGCCGTAGGCGAGGTGCGTGATGGCGACGTCGTCGAGGACGATGTTGAACTCGGCGGCGCGGCGGATGAGGGAGTCGCGGACAAGCGCGGAGACGTGGGGGCGCTCGGTGAGGAGCTGGTCGGCGTTGAACTGCGCGACGACGGCCTTGAGCACCTCGTTGCCGATGGAGGGGAGCACCTTCTCGTCGTACTCGAGGCCCAGCGAGGTGAAGATGTCCGGGAGGCGGTCGATGTCGGGGCGCGCGAGGACGCGGAGGGTGAGGCTGACCATCTGCAGGTCCTTGGTCCCAGAGGTGGAGGAGAAGCTGTGCGGGCGGGTGCGGATGTCGAAGATGAAGGGCTTCTGGAGCCAGGGGACGATGAAGTGGGTGCCCTCCGACGAGGTCTCCGGGAGCACGCCGCGGAACCGGTCGAAGATCACGGCGCGCTGCCCGCCGTCCACCGTGTACAGCGCCGTCGACGCCGCCGACGCCGCGATGCCCAGCCCGGCCGCCGCCTGCGCCAGCTTCGTCAGCAGCGACGCCGCCGCCTGCCCGCCGCCGGCCATGGATCCCGATGGATGGGGGTTCGCCTGCTTTTCCGGTGGGGGATTGTTTGGGAAAGGGGTTTGGGTTTTTTTTTGGGGGGGGGGGGGGGGGGATTTGGTTGATCTGGTGGGGTTTGGTTTTAAAGCCGTGCACGGGTTTCCGCATTTCTTGGAAGGGAAGAAGAACGAAACTTCCAGTGCGTGGGCGTCGATGGTTGGCAGGTGGCAGGGCACTCGCATTGAGATTCGTGCTCAGGCCTGATGGGCCGTGGGCCTCCTCCGGTCGATGCTTTGTGACGTCCAATTTAAGTCCCTCAAGATATATTCCATCCGTTCCAAAATATAACAACTTTTTTACCAACATTCTCTTCCCAACCAATCACAACATCCTCCTATTTAATTCTACCTACTTTATTAACAACAATGTCCAACTCTAAATCTTCTTTTATTATGTAACGGGGGTGGTAAGTTATTTTACACGAGTTCTTATTGTTAAGTAGCTGAGGGATACAAATCATTGAACATTTTCCTCGAGTGAGAACCTCGAGCACTTCTATCGAGACTCACATTCAAGATCATGTTTGTGTCTACTTCCTCCATCTTAAAATACTTATCATTCTAAATAATTTAGTATAGGTCGTGTTTGTAGTCTACCACCGAAGAAGAGGACTCGGGTTCCACCAGCTGAGGGGTTATAGTAGACGGCGACGGGACAATAATGGTGAATCCGTGAATAGGGTGGCAGCAAGCAAGCAAGAAAATGGGAGAGGAAGGTGACCGGATTCTCGACCCCTCTAGCTCAATCCTCCAACCGCGTGTCCTCGTGCTTGTAAGTTGTACCTGTCCATCCCCATACATGTACGGGCTTAGCCTGGACGAGGGATGAAGCTCTCACCTTGCATTTCGAGTTAGTGTAGCTCGGAAGGCTATGCGGGTAACCAAATTATTAACGCTATTCGTTTGCACTTGTGCATGCCAATCAGGCTTTATGCAAGTAACCAGACACGTCTTTTAGCCTTTTCTTAGCAAGAGATGGTTGGTTAGGGAGATGGCTAAACTTTGATCAGCTAGGGAAGAGCTAGCTAGCCTGATAAATCCACTGAACACTTATTTTTAATTACTTGGTTAGCTATTTTTAGAGATGGCTAGTCTGATACGTACGTAGTATCTAGGTAGGGGCCTCTTACAAATGAATATTGTACTTATCTCCAATTTAAGCAACCAGAGGAATATATATGCTTGTATTCGAGTAGAGTTCTTTCATAGTAGTAGATGCTTAGTTAGGTAATAGTAGATGCTTAACACTAATATTAGAAAATGCCCCCCACGTGAACGTCTAAAATGGGAAATGCCCCGTACGTGAAAACAACAAAACAACTCATAGTTGATTCATGCTCTCGAGAAAACATTCTCTCGTTATTTACATGGTATCTAAATAGTTATGAAAAAATATAGAAAAAATCAAATAGATAGATTAATATGCAGTATAACACTCTACAAATATGTAGATTAAAATTTAACTTTTACAAGTTGTAAAAAAAATTAAAACTATGACTAGTTAACGTATATCCACAATATTTTTTTTGCAACTTATAGAAGCTAAATTTGACCTTACATATTTGTGGAGTGATTTATCATATATTAATTTATTTTATTCATGTTTTTCTTATTTTTTTACAATCATTTAGATAACTTACAAACAACAAGATTTATAACAACTCTTGTACTCCACCGAAACAAGAACAATGGTCCCCCACACGACAGTTCCACACATATCGCACGCTTCCCCTTCCCTCCGTCCCTTGAGCCATGGCGCGCGTTTAGGCTTTGCAAAGAGCCAAAGCCGCGCAAAAAGCCTACACAGCTCATCCATGCAGCTGTGACGCTGACGCAGATCAACCAACCACTACTACCGCCCGCAAGCTCACGCAGCTCCAGCACTGGCCTCGTGTTCGATCGATGGACATGGCGGCCTGCGTCGACGACGTCGGCAAGCCGCGGGCGTCGAGGAAGGTGTGCGTGATCGGCGCCGGGATGGCCGGGCTGGCGGCGGCGCGGGAGCTGCGGCGGGAGGGGCACGCCGTGACGGTGCTGGAGCAGGCCGGCGACGTGGGCGGGCAGTGGCTGTACGACGACCCGCGGGCCGACGACGACGACGAAGACCCGCTCGCCGCCGCCGCCGCCGCCGCGAAGCCGGTGAGGGTGCACAGCAGCATGTACGCCTCGCTCCGGCTGCTCGGCCCCCGCGAGGTCATGGGATTCTCCGACTTCCAGTTCGTGCCGGCCAGGAAGAGCCGCTGCGGCGGCGGCGACAACCCCGGCGGCCGCGACCCGCGCCGCTTCCCGGGGCACCGCGAGGTGTACCTCTACCTCAGGGACTTTTACCGCGCGGCGGGGCTCACCGACTCCGTCAGGTTTAACACCAGGGTGGTGCGCGTCGCCGTGGCGCCGCCGCCATGCCGAGGTGGCCCCGGCGACGCGCTGAGATGGGTGGTGAGATCCATGGACGCCGGCCTCTGGAAGCGATGCACCGATGACCAGATGGCGGAGGCGCACTGCGTCGAGGAGGTGTTCGACGCCGTCGTCGTGGCCACCGGCCACTACTCGCAACCAAAGCTGCCTAGCATCCAAGGTGCGTAGCGCCGACGAGCGACCAAATCAGCAAACCTGCTCTTGTCTCAGGCAGAAATCGAAATGCTAATCTCGCCGGTAATTACCCTGGTCGAAATCTCTTAATTAATCAGGAATGGGGGATTGGAAACGGAGGCAGATGCACAGCCACTGGTACCGGGTCCCGGACTCCTTCCGCGACGAGGTTAATTAACTAATTTGCTGCCACGGCTGTGATTTGTGACTAATCACAACCACAGTGCCCGTTAATCTTGGATTAATCCTGGCGTGCGTGCAACGCTGCAGGTGGTGGTGCTGGTGGGCTGCGGCGACAGCGGCATGGACATCGCGCTGGACCTCCTCGCCGTCGCGAGGGAGGTGCACCTCTCCGCCAAGTCTGTGGAGGCGGCCGCGACGCCGGCGATGTCCAAGATGCTGGCGAGGCACGCCAACCTCCACCTGCACCCGCAGATCGAGCGCCTGTGCGACGACGGCCGCGTGGTGTTCGCCGACGGCGGCGGGGGCGTCGTCGCCGCCGACACCGTCATGTACTGCACCGGGTACCGCTACTCGTTCCCGTTCCTGGACACCGAGGGGAAGGTCGCCGTCGACGACGACGACAACCGCATCGGGCCTCTGTTCGAGCACACGTTCCCGCCGTCGCTCGCGCCGTCGCTGTCGTTCGTCGGCATCCCGAGGAAGGTGATGGTGCCGTGGTTCTTCGAGGCGCAGGGGAGGTGGATCGCCGGCGTGCTGTCCGGCCGGCGGGCGCTGCCGTCCGAGGAGGAGATGACGCGGTCCGTGGAGGAGTTCTACCGCGCCAGGGAGCTCGCCGGCGTGCCCAAGGCGCACACCCACGACGTCGAGCCTCACGTAAGCACATCCCATGGCGGTCTAATCTGTTCACTTCTTGATCGAATATTTGAATGATCGCTCGTTTTGGTGGTCAGAAAATGTATGAGCTTGGGGAGAAGTACTGCGATTTCCCGCGCACGGAGGAGTGGAAGAGGGAGCTGATGGCGATCATCAGCCGGAACACGAGCGACGACATGGAGACGTTCCGCGACCGCGACGACGACAGCGACAACGTCCGCAGGTGCCTGCAGGAGTGGTACGCCCTGGCTGAGCACCAGGCTCAAGACGAAGAAGACCCAGCTGCCGCTGCTGCACAAGCACCCGTGCACAGCTCGCTCTGAAGCCTGTACAGCTGTGTGTTCTGTGCTCTGCACAATCATAATTTTCTTCTACAGAGCATGAAAATTTCTGAAATAAAACAGAGCATGCAGAAATTTCGAAATTTCGCTGCATGATTTGGGTCTCTGCAAGGCCATTGCCCAATGATACGGCCGTTGGATGAGATAGTGTGTATTCGTTTGGAATAAGTTTACATTAGGTTCCTCATCTTGAAAGTCAAGTTTGAATCACGTCCTTCAATCGCAATAACAATACATAATGCGTCTCTCAACTTCAAAATCAATACAAACGTGGTCTCAAGGTGGTTTGGACAATTGTTTAGCTGACGTGGCGCCAATGTGACTGGTTTAACTTAGTCCTCATCCCACTTGACGAAAAAGTGACACTAGAAACACGATTAATAATTTTAAAATTAAGACAAAATATGTATGGCTTATAAGTCAGTAAAAAAAGATAAACAATATAGTGGGGCCCATATCTTCTACCTCTCTATATCGTCATGTCTTTATCCTTCTCTCCTTTGCAAGCGGACGTGCTCTCCTATCTAGCCGCCACCTTTTGATCCAACTCGCTGTTCGTGGTTTCGGCTCCCGCACTTCCACAACGTCATTGTGCGCTTTGCCCCAGTGCCTCGTTCTTCTTCTCCGCATCATCACCAGTTTGCCACAACTCGCTGGCACAACCATGCAATGCAAGGATTGGATTGAGTTGGATTGGAGAGAGAATGGCAATGTATTTGTCCCTCGCGCCCTCCCACCTCTCTTGCCTTATGACCTCCGCCACGGCGCCATCGTCGCAACAGTCTCATACCCCGCGCCCTAACAACTTCACCTCAACGTACGTTGATAATCGCTATAGCCAGATTTGGCAAGGTACGATATCGTTTTGCTTACACTGGGGGTGATTGGCCTTGGTCTATGTCGTCTTTTTGCTCATTGGCTAATTAGTTACTTTCCGTTGCCTTGTGGTGATGCCGTCGCCGTATCCTCGTGCTGCCCAGCCTCGCTGGCCGCCACATTGTTGAAAAGACCTGGTCAGACTACCACGTGGACATCACATAAGATAAAACTGGTGTTGAAACCGTTAAAGGACTCGATTTGTGCCATTTTTAATAGCTGAGTAACGTTCAATATGCGGTTTTTTGCGGTTGAGGGATGTGAATGAAACTCGATGTATTGTTGAGGGATAAAGTAGACTTATTTCTATTCGTTTTCCTCCCGGAAACCGGCCAGCTACATGGGCTAATACAACTATACAAGCCCACCAGACCTGGGCCCATCACATACATTACGGTCCCAGATTTGCCACGGTCACACGCACAACCTGCCCGCGCCGCCTCTACCGCGCGGTCGACCAAACGCTGACCTCCAGGGTCCACCCCCAATTGGGCAATTCGGCGCCAGCTGGGGGAGGGGCCCTCACGTACGCACGCCTACTCACGCGCGGGTGGTAGCCTCTCTCGCTGCCACGTTGGGCCCCACCGTTGATAAAGCTGGACTCCAGTGTAGTACCACCCGCTACCGCCACTGCCAGCGTGGGCCTTCACCTTGACCCGAGCCAAGCGAAACCAACCGCGGTCAAAGGGTGGGCCCACAGCCGCCTGTTTTTCTATACCTCCCCTGCTGCTGGCCGTCCGATCCGTTCTCATCTCAAATTTTTGAGCCGTCGGATGTAGTAATGGGGCCTTCGCGTAACCACCGCCGTAGCGGAATGGGAGCGAGGCGAGGGGCGCGCGCACACACAGCGCGAGGCAACTGAAACGAAACGGCGGAAAAAAAAATCAGCCCAACAAATCCAGACGTTTTACCCGGAGGGACCTTGCATTTCCTCGTAATTACAAGTTCGTATCCGTTGGTTGGACCTAGTAATAACGACTTGACAGTAGCATGCCATCCTGTTTCTTTCCTCTCTTTCGAGTGTTGAAATGGGGGATTTAAATGGGTTGCCATATACATTGATGCTAAGTTTAGCATCTTGACAACAAAGGATAGTTCTTATTTAGTACTTCAAATTTCTTTAACCCTAAACGTGAGCCGTCAACAGTCTTTTCATTTTCTCACTATAATAAAAGAACATCACTTGTTAACAGCGTGATAATTTATTTTTATCGTCCTCGTTTGATATTATGAAAACTTATTTTATTTTTCCACGTAACACCTGTATGTAGATTCTTAAGTATTGTTTGTAATAAAATGCAACACACAAAAAACTATTAATCTAAAGCTAATAACATCCTTCTCGTATCGGTCTCTTTTCGGTTTTTTTAATTGTTTGGATCCTTCTAGAAATTGGCGCGTGTTAGACTACTTTGTAAAAAACTCCTCAGGTATATATAAAATCTTATATAGGCTCTCTACCACCTAACGTGTATATAGTATAGGTAATAGATACACCCGCACAACAACGCTTGTTCATTGGAGAGCAATGAAATAGTAGCAAGTTAGCAACGTTGATAACAATGTTAGCTTTTTAAGATTCACATATAGCAGTGTCACCACATATGTGCCTATCAATTCATCCGTCTGTCATGAATGATAGAAATGTTATGAGTACGATGACACATTAAAACACAGTCATTCAACTACACTTCTCTTCATGAATCGTTTACTTGTAGATGGTGGTACGGCATATTTCTCTTGGTTCATAAAAAAAATGCTACATCTTATCTAAATCTAAAGTTATCATTGCATTTAAACCAACACTTTCAATTACAGGATTTTAAATCTACGTTATACCGAAATCTCAAGCACTACAACTCATAACGTTCACAGAGCTAGCGACATTATCGAGCATAAGCGACTAATAGTGTTTCTTCATGACCTACCACTTCTTTATACGCCAAAGACAATATGTAGTGAAGGTGGCGACGATGGAGCCAGACGATCTCCCGACCTACCTGAGAGCTGTCTCCGCCACTACATATCACCCAACCAACTTCCATTGATACACACACAATATCTGAACCTGGGTGATTAATGATGTTTTTATATGACCTACCAATTTGTTTATACACCGACGATAATCTGTAGTGAAGATGCTAGCGATGGAACCCGACTGGTCGCCCGACCTGCTAAACATCTGTCGATATATGCACGCTGCACGCTGCACGCAATATCTCCAAACCACAGGGTCCTCTCCGCGACGCGGAGAAACATTAGGGAAGTTGGGCTTCCGCTTTCCACTTCCGCCCTCCCGAGACTCGAAGCCGCAGCAGCAGCAGCGGAGGAGGAGGAAAAAACGGAAACGAGCCCCCCTTCACCCCACCCCAAGTCCCCAACGGACGCGAGTAGTGAAAAAGGCGAGAGCGGGAGCGCGGCCGCGCCCACCCTCCCTCCCTCCCTCCGCCTCCACCCCCATTCGATTCCCCCCCTTCCCTTCTCTTCTTCCCTCCCCAACCGCCACTCTCCCCCCCAAATCCCCCACCTCTCCTCGAGAATGGCGGAGTCGCAGGTGAGTGGGGTGGAATTCCCAGGCCTCCCTCTTCCGTTCTACTCCGCCGCCGCCGCGGGTGGTGGTGTAATCTGGTTTTGGGCGCGCTGATTGATTGATTGATTGTGGTTGTGTGGGGGGTTTTTGGGTGGGTGGGTGGGTGTTTGTTTGCAGGTGGAGGGGATGAGGAAGGCGTACGCGGAGATCATGCTGAACATGGCGCAGGAGTCGGCGGCGCGGGTGCTGGCGGCGGAGCGGCGGGCGGCGGCGCTCGCGGGGGGTTTGGCGGCGGCGAGGGAGGACGGCGTCGCCGCGCTCGTCAGGCTCAAGGCCATCATGGAGGCCAGGGTACGCCACGCCCCTCCTCCTCCCCTTCCGCTCCTTAGGTTTTTTTTTCGCTTGCTCCTTTCGTTGGTTAGTTGGTTGGTTGGTTGGGTGTTTCCTTCGGGTTTGGTTGTTCGTAGGTGTGGTTGCGATTTCGGCCCCCTTTCGGGGATTGCGAGTTTCCGCGATTTAGGGAGGTTTTTGGGTGGTGGTATTTCTCGGAATTCTGGTGGATGCAGATTTTGCGTTTGAATGCGGGGATTTGGAGTTCGAATTAGAGGGGGTTTCGCGGTTCCGTACTCTGCCCAAATGTTGGTTGGGAAAGCTGGTGCTAGTGCTTTTTCATGCTTCTGCATTTTGGTTTATGCAGTGGTGTTGATTTTGCACAGCCTTCAAAGTAGAAATTTTCCCTTTTCGGTATCTATTTCGGCAGCCTCGAGGGCAACTAGGCTAGGCTCCTTTGAGTGGGTGGTAGAGGGGGGAATGGAAGCACAAGTTTGTGTTTGTGCTCTAACTCAAATTGGTAGATTTTGGGTTCCTCAGTTCCCCAAAGCATGCAAATAGTAAGATTGTTACAATGAGTTTTGAGACACTAGCTTTGGTGATAACTGATAATAGGTACATAACGTTCCCATTTTAATGTAGTGATGAATCACATTTCACTTCTCTCTACTTATTTGTGCTTTTTTCCCCTGTGGTAGGGTGATGCATGCTATTTCTATTTGCTGTTATACATTGAAGTGTAGTGAACTATCTAGATGGCACTGGTATTTTTGTGTGTGGCCAAATTTTTGAGTCCTGAGAGCAACAATAGGATACTATATATTTTACATTTTTGTTTATAACCTGCTGATAAACCATGCTCCTGCAAAGAGTGTTATAATACAAAAAGAACACTAGTGCAATATAGGCTACCATGTTGTTTATGCAATTATGCCAATTTATGGGGTAATCTCTTAGTACATAATAATATAATTCCGATAGCTGATTGAAATTTAATTGAGCAATTCTCTCAACTTTAGTAAACCCTCATTTGTAAATTACATTACCATATTTTGTTCTCGGTTGATTTCTGCAGTGCACAATTTCTTATTGGGAAATCATATGTTGTAGCGTCTTGCCTGAACTTTTTACTTTTTAAGTCAATTTTTCATTATCCAGTCCATGTTTAGGTCATATATGTGTATATGGTCAAGGTTTATGATTGTTCCATAATTGTTCCAACCAGTCATTGTGACCTTGATACTTTATTGTATTTTAAAATGTAGTCCGTGTTTACTTTGCGTACAAGGCATCAAATTGATAGTGTTATTGGCCAAGTCTGTACCAGACATGGTCTCCTGCTGCTTTTTAGTACCTTCAGTCTATTGGTGCAGTTCTGCTAACAAATAATAACTGTAGAGTTTCTTTCAGTTTGTGTAAAGCCCAGGGTTTTTGTTGGATAGCAATGGCAGAAAGTCTGCCATCTTTACAAAAGTTAGTTAACTGTGATAAGCTAACTGCCCTGTTGAGACCTTTATTTGTTATGATGGTTCTAAGAGGAATGCTTCAAAGTTATTTTAAATCTTGTGATTTGAGGCAAATTTGGATATTTGTAACACCACTATTGTGCCTCATATTGGCTAGCTATTTGTTAAGACAACACATTTGTGATATGTATATTAATTACAATAACTCCATGTTCTGAAGTAGTGGTTCTTCTACCTATATTGGAGTACTTACTTAGGGTGAGTGCAGCTGCCCCATAGGTACTCTTTGGCCACTCTAGACTAAATGAACTAGATTCCATTCATGAAGTTTTCAAAAATTAAATGTAGTTCACTTAGTTGAACTAGAGTGGGTCAAGAAGTAATCGTGAGTTGGTCCTTGCTCATCCGTACTATACTAATTTGTATCATTTTCAGTCTTTCTAAACTGTTTTCTGTCTGCCTCGTGCTGTGTTCAACATTGTGTTGAAGACAATAGATGAAAAGAATGCTTATCCGTTAATGTACTTGATCTGTTTGAATGGTGAAATGTTATACATGTGGTGGCGCTTGTATTTTGTGATATATTTTACCATGGCCTGTGACCTTTGTTCCATTTGTTCGGAACAACCTTTTTCAATTAAATTATAGTTTTTAAATCTTTTTTTGGTAGGTAGAACCATTGACTATGTATTAGGGCTATCCATATTATTTGGGAAATGCAAATCATGGTTGTAAAATTCATTATGGATTCTAGGCCTATAACCTGGATGATTGCCGATTCCTGTAATCTATTCTAGTACTGGTGGTAGGCCCAGTCACTGCGTATAAACATATGCATATGGGCATGTACGTGTTAAAGATTAGAGGACAATCATCACTCTCTGTTTCTGTAGGCCCCTTCTTTTACCAGCAAACGTAGCATGTCTAAATAAACTTGATTTGTTTCCCATTAACTAAGCATTAAGGGCCTGTTTGGTTGGTGCCCTGAAGGATATTTGCCTGACCAGACGTAAGCCTGAGACCAGCCGGGACCTTGTTTGGTTGGTGCCCTGACCTTAGTTTCTCCTTCCCTGGCCTGAGCTCTTTTGGAGCCTCATTAGCCTGAGTCAGGCGACCGTTTTCGGTCGCCTGAGCTCCAGGGCGGCGCAGCTACGCTCATTAATCCTAATTACCGCTTATAATAATGTAGTATAGGTACTGTAGATTGTAGAAGCAGCCGACCATACAAATATATTTTATTTGTGCTTTCAAGGAGGGATACAGCCCATCCAAATATTTTATTTTTTTTCTAACACTTTATAACAACCGTAATAATTAAAAGCTTAATCACGTTTAGTTTTCACAGGCGCGGAAGAACAACCAAACAGACAAGTGTTCAGGCTGCCTGAGCAGGCAAAATTTATCATCCTATCAGGTAGCTCTCAGGCACCCAAATTTTTCAGGCATGTAGGTGTGGGCATCAACCAAACAGGCCCTAAGTCATAAAACAGCCTTTTGCCTGGTTATTGTGGCCCAGTGTTATTAAATATAAATGCATGTATACTCAAATTTGATTGGCCGGTCTAAGTCTGTGATTGCCTGGATTGTCGCCTGAAATTTTCTTATCTCACCATTTTAAAGGCATACAAACGAATCATAATATTTAAGAGGGATAGACTATGGATTCACAAATAAAATGAGAAACGCAGTAAAGCAACATCACAGCCACCGGTTAAGCGTACAAGGTTGCCAAACCTTGTCAAGAATTGTAAGCAGTTGATTTACATGGTTAAGCATGAGCATATGCGGATAAGCGGCCCACTTACCCGGTTACCCCACATACAAGGCTGATTAATAGGCCCATGTATGACTTTCATTTATTAAAAGGCCCATGTACTTCTGTATGACTTTTATTCTTTAAACCTATGTTTATTGTTCATAAAGAAAGATGTGCCTCGCATGTTAGACTAAAGAAATTTAAAATCTCTTACACGGCCACTTTCCGCATAAGATCTACAAGGTGGGGTGACCACACTGCACAGCTCACTGTCTTAGAACATTGAAGAAATTTAAATAGTTAACCTAAAAAGAATTGAATACACATGGTATCATTTGAAAAGGTCAATGCTGATTACATATGGTAGAAATCCTTGTAGTTTATTCAATGGCATATAAGTACTTACAAAAATCATTTGGTAAAAATCTGGTGATTTTGATCCTCTTTTGTCCTGCATCATATCCTGCCAAAAAAATCAAGTTGAGTTCCCTTGCAGTTATCTGCCATTTATAACATATCGCTAATCATTCTTTCGTTGTTTAATGTGTAAGTAATCAGGGAGAGATGGAAAAGACCGCCTTCCATTTGAAACTCTCTAGATCTTATATATTTTCCAGCAATCTATGTCAAAAGAGCGTGATGGATTGGGTCAGTTTGCTGGGCCCTAGCCAGGTGGACTCGCTACCGTGCCAAGGGCTGGGCGTGCTAGTTACAAGGGTTCCGTGCATGCTCTTTATTTTATACCCAAAAAATTAAAGACACTGAGAAGGGGCTAGGGTAAAATGCGTTGGTCAGCAGGATTCACATGCTGGCAACAGCTCATGCCAATTTGATTTAAAAAAAGTTACTTTTTTGTACATAAAGCAGCTTAGTTATTTCTCTTTTGAACTTGCTTTGCAATCATTTGTTCCAAATGTTTACAACTTTAAATAGATGTGTCCTTTCTCTCATGTGGAACTGATGCGTGTCAAAACTTGTTTGTACATGTGCAGATAAAAGAAGCAGAGTCACAATCTTTGGCAAACATTAATAAGATTAAGGAACTACAAGAGCAATTACATGGTGCTCAAGATACAGTGGCCTCCCTTCAAATTGAACTGCAGAGATCAAATACTGAACTGGAGCAAGCAAGGAGCACTTTGGCTGAGGAAAGAAGAAATAACCTTCGCTCCTGCAATAAGATCAATTCTAATAAAAATAGCAGCTCTTCTTCTAGAAAGCATCTACAAGGCAGAGTATCCTCAAAGAGTAAAAATACGGCAAAGGAAAGTGGAGCTGTTGAAAACTTGGAGACACTGTACCGTTGTGATTCTGATCTGGGTTCATTCATGGCTAGAACTAAGAATCCTGAGCTGTATCGCAATGGGTGTACACAACGTATCCGTGCAATCAAGCAGCGAAGTCCAAATTCGGATACATCCCTGGTAGAAAACAGCAAGCAAACTAGTGCACTGAATAGCCGTTCTAAGACTGGAAAAACTGATACCAACAGAAACCCACAGAGCACAAGGTCCATCATGGAACAGATACTTCAAACAAAATTTCTGGCCAACTGCAAGAGAAAGAGAGGTAGGCGAAGCAGGCCAAGTTACATGCATGATAATTCTGGTGAGCATGGGCAAACAGAGTACAAGTCGTCTGATACATCTGATGGAAATGGGTGTTTGCTGCTACTTCAGGCTCTTGAACAAGATCTTTCACCTCTAAAGGCGTCTTCTGGAAGTGTTGGTGAGGGATTAGCTGACCAGAAGGATGAATTGCTCAAGGATGAAAAGGATGCTGACTTGAATCTTCACCCTGCTTCCCCTGGACCAAATGATGTACTTTCAGTAAACAACATGCAGATGAAAAGGAGGAAAAGGTCTAAGACTATGAGAGTCTTTGAATCTGATTTTGAGGCAAAAGCTGCCCCTGAATTTGGGAACACCCTGCCAAAATCAAGTAATAATAATAGCATGCTAAATAGTGAACAGAGCTCTGATCCACCTGCTGGAAACAATGGTCCTGTTTTGCAATGTACTGCTGAAAACTTGATGCACGTGACTGATGCTGCAAATGCTGATCAATTAAAGTCTGAGAACAGCTCCCCGCTAGTCCCTCAGTCAACAGAGAGTGAAATTGGAGATGAAGGTACCATTTAGAAACTTTGTTTTTTTAATTTACAACATATGCCTCTGTTATTACTTTCTGAATATGTATTGAGCCCTGAGCATGGTTAATATGATGCAGGTAACTCGCGAGTGGATCACAAAGAGTGTAGAACACCAGATAATAATGCAATAGTCTTGGAAGAAGTGAATGTGGATAAAAGCTGCATTATTTTAGCTTCAGATGGAGCTGATTCTTCGATAGTCAGCTCCCTGGACAAAGAAGAAAATGCAAAAGAAGCAACTTCTGGAGTTGCCGTGCAAGCTGAAGGTGCCAGATATATCAAATACACATTCAATCGCAGGAAACGCAAGGCCGCGCCTTTAGACAGCACTCCTCAAGGGGCTGTCCCTGAGAAAAGCAGTAGTGTGGTTTGCCCATCTGAGAATCATGAGCCTCATGCAAAGCCTGAGACGCAAGATCTCGTCATAGAGTCACCTCCAGGTGACAATCAACTAATCCATGTTGCCCAGCAGGTATGTGCTCCTCTTTACATTTGGCACCATGTGTGAACTTGTTCAACATCTCTGCACTCGCTTCTGAAAAATATTCTCACCGTCCAAAACCGTATTGTTTTTCAGCTCATATTGCTGTCAGCGCAAAAATGATGAAAATTTTGTGATACATCAAAGCGGAAAGAGGGATTGGTTCGAAAGAATAATGCTTAAGGGACGGCTCCAATAAGTGGATCATGGATCGTTTGATAATATGCTAAATGCAGTTGAGTTCTTCAACGGAGGGGGAGAGACTTGTGGTGGTAGCGGCAGAGAAATCAAGAAAGCTAGCTTCATAGTGTAGTTATACCTCTACCTAAGAGGTGTTATTATAGTAGTGTATAAATTAGGCAGGAGTTACTATTTATTTTGTAGATGATAAATTTTGAACTATTGGTTTAAGAAGGTTATAAATTTTGAAGTGGTACTCAGTTATTAAGTCGGTTCAAATTCAGAGGTGAAACATCTGCTCATGTAAAGCAACTTACTTTTCTCTAGTTTTGGGGAAAATTTTGGTCATTTGATGGGAATATTCGCGCAGATCGTTGCACAGTATGTGTGCTACGTTGGAACAGTACAAGATGCGGGGGTTCAATCACCAACGCGCGTGCATTCCATCAGAAGTACTCTGCTACTTTATGGCCATACAATTACAATCGATCTTCCGCGCCTATGTAACATGGGGAGGTGACGAGTTAGTAGCAGTAACCGTAGTTTTTTTAGTCCATCACATTTATGCATTTACAGTCTATGACCGTATTAATACTTTTGAAAGGTATGTTATTCCTCGAAATTTCTTCAGTGTAGGCCAGTATGCTTTATCAGCCCATACAGATCGGAAACAGTACAGTTGGACATCTTAATACAACTAAAATAGTTGAAGTATCTAGATACAGCTATGGCATTATAACCTGAACCCAAATGATAAATGGTATTTCGTCCGTTTCACTGTAGTTGCCATAATTCCTCTTTATAGCGATCGCAGAGGGTAAAGCTGAAATAGCCGACTCGTAGGTCGACTTGAGACGATATATATATATATATGCTTAGATCGTTGATGCGTTTGTCAATCGATCGCGTTGTAGCGAGTGCGACTGATTGATTGCACTAATGAACAACTCCATCCATGGTGAAAAAAAAAAACAATTTCTAACTTTGAATCTATACACCCTCTATATTCAAATTTATAGTCAGGAATTGATTTAATTTTTTTTAAGGATGGAGGGTGTGCTCAAGTACATATCTTTCTGTGCCGCTAGCTGAAAAGCAGCCTGAACTGAAAACATTCACCATATCATGCATAACATCAGAGTCAGACACATCACCATGCTCTAGCCTACTCGATTTACTTCAACCTAAACATGAGATATACCTCCGGGTCGTACTTTGATTCAAGATCTGCAGTCAAGTACACTTCTACAATACTCACTCCGTTGAAAGATACAAGGCAGGGTTTCACTTATCGCATGATAATCACACGATTATCGCGGGGGTACGGTAGGAGAAATCGACGATATGGTTTGGATGAATTTTGACCAAATTCAAAATTCCGGAAAAAATAAAAAAAAATTGAAAAAAAATCATGGATATGGTTCTTGATTTGTAATTGTCAATGGTGAAGAATTTTTTTGAAATAGAGTAAGCTATATTCAAATTTGAGGGCAAAACCGAGAATAGTTTACAAATTAGAAAAGGGAAGATAATATTGGGCCTTAAGTATCCTACATATTCTTCCAATTATTCTTAATTTCTAGTTTTCTACACATATTCAACCGTATTTTTTATTTTTTTCCCCTATTTATTTTGTATTTACATAATTTCAGCTACACAGCCCGCGATAATCGTGCGAATACCGTGGTTATCGCGGTAAACCATGCGATTATCGTGGTGAAACCGCGAAACCACCGAGTTTTGAATTCGAATTTTTGGATGTGATTTTTGTGTGATTTTAGACGATTATCACGCGATTATCGTGTTTATCGCGCTACCGCAGGGTGGTGGTTATCTCGGCCCAAACGATAAGGTAAACCCTGATACAAGGTCTATCAGTTTTAAATAGACTTCAATACTGAACTTTGACAGTTATTTTCTTTCACCATGTTTCATCAATAGTACAAAATTAACATGATAAGAAAGCATTTATATAAATATAAATCCAATGGTATCACTTGTGTCACTAAACATATTGTATTGCCTTTTTTTTTCCAAATACATAACACACCTTCTATTTGATTCAACAAATGAAGTAGCCTTGAAAAGGGCAGGGGAGGTCCTTAACTAGTAAACTCTGACATTGTGTGCACCACGATATCACATTAGAGCACCCTTGGTTTCAATCTGTAAATATTAACTGTAAATAGATTTGCATAATTTCACTGTCCTACAATATGGAAAGGGAAAGCATAAATCTTAAAGCACAATTTATGCACATGGAAGTACCTAGGTTATTCTGTTGATCATTTGCTACCCAAAATTTCAGAAAAGAGGGTAAATTAGCTCAACAGAAGCAATTGTGCATGAGATACGCAAAGGAATGTAGTACCATTCCTATGTGGTCACCTAATTAGTTAAGTACTCACAATGAAAAGACAACAACTTCATCATATGACGGAGATAATTTAAGTAGCAAATCCAGCCCAACAAATAATGAACCGTATTTTAGAGAGAAATAGAATTTTAAAACAAAAACGAAAATATCTTGTAAAAACAGCAATATCAAATCCTTTATCAATACATTTATACACTGTCCAAAGTGGTAAACAAACATATTTTCTTCATAATCCAGAACAATATGAAACCCAAAGCGAAGAAAAAGAATGCACCATATGAGAAGTAAACAAACATCTTTACCAAGAAAAAAAAGTCCATTTTACTTCCCCGAACTATTTCGCCTGACCACTTAGCCCCCTAAACAATTTTTCAGCTCATTAAAATGGACCTTTTTCTTTCAATGAAATGAACTTTTTTCTTTCAACAAAGGCTGATCTTACAATATAACCCATATGATCGATTTAGGAATTCAAGGTTTATCACCGTGGTTACATGTTAACCCATTCACCCATTCACTTTACTAGGATTTTCAACAAAGGTTGATCTTACAATATAACCTATTTGATTGATTTAGGAGTTCAAGGTTTATCACCATGATTGCATGTGGCTTACTGCTACCTGATGGTGCTTGTGCATTCTATGAAAGTAAAAACTAAATACCAAGAGGGAAGGAGCAAGGTACCATACTCAATTCGAATGACTGAGATTTAATTCCTTGGGTAGATATCTTGAAAAGATGGAGGGAAAGAATTACTGATGAGCAGCCTGAAACATGAGCCAAGCGATATCTAATAGAAAATAATAGCAAATAACAAAACAAGTAAATGTTGCACGCTGGAACAGAAAATGACCTGGAAAGAGATGCATTTGTCCCTAGATAACATACTACTAGCTCCGTCCCAAAATACTTGTTGCTTTATTATCAAAAGTACTTTAAGTATCACTTATCCTTTTTTATATTTGCACTAATTTTTCAAATAAGAGGAATGGTCAAACGTTACAAGAAAAAAGACAAAGTGACCACTAATTTAGGACGGAGGTAGTACTAGATAAATCCAATTTAAGTACACCCATAGACAAAGGCATGCATAATTCGTCAATGATAAGATTACCTATTAAGAAAGACCAGAAAAATGTAACTAGAAAGTGCAGAAGATTGAAAGAACCATAAAGGGTTTACAAGCTAATACAACATAGTTACTGAGTAGATAATGTGGATTGTGGAGAACAAATAGCAGATTTCACAAGTCGACAACAAACACCCTGTATAGCTATTATTTATAGACTCCCACACCATGAATAACAAAGGGTCCTCTCAGCAACATATTCACCATACACAAAGCAAACTCATCAAAAGTCAACAAATTACTGGGGAACTTTCTATTACGATTAAACAGCCTATGCCGATATTCACATTTCTTTATATGAAAAGGCAAACGTAGGTAACATACCAAACAGTACCATGCATAGAGAAGAACTGTGATGATTAACTAGGTCATAACCCTGCCATCTTAGTATCTTGGACCCATACTACAAGAACGGGACAGACGTAAATTCCCCATCTCACGTTCACTTCCAACCGTTTCTCCACCTGAAGAAGCTGAGATGTACTGCTTCCTGCAGGCAGGACAGCGCCCATCTGCCTCAAGAATTCTCTTGTGGCAGAACAGACACAGATGAAAACCGCAGGGGCAAGGGAGGAAGCTTGAATCTGTTGGATCAAGGTCCTCGTAGCATATAGGGCAGGATGTCGGCTTTGAGGGGACTCCCTTTTGTGCAGATCCTATCCCCATTGCCACCCAACAGTTACCCATGCTAGCTGGAAAGCTGACTTGTTTGGAGAGGCTGGGTAAACTCTGTGGACGGAATGCATCATCTGGGCTCCAAGCTCTTGTACTACTCTTGATTGGTTCTTGCCTTGTTGCTGCATTAGCGGGCACTGGACAAGATGCAGGTACAACTGGTGGATCTGCCGGCACTGGATCCTGGTGATTATGGTTGTCATCCACTGAGAGTGCATCGGCAACAGCTTCCCAATCATCCAAAACTCCATCATCATCATTCTCGGGGCTACCACCAGTGTCATCGTCAGAATCAGTCACACTCCGAGAGCTGGACCAAGCACTGCTGCCGCTGCTGAAGCTACGGCCACCACCATTGCCCGAGCAGTGCTTCTGCTGCAAGCAGCCAATAGGAGGGTTGTAGGAGACAGGGCTGTGCAACGGAGACTCATGATCACTGCTACCAACATCCTGGCTAGCGCCAACTGAATCCTCCTTGAAATCCTCTGGATCCCCTTCCCTCGTCCGAATCTCTGCACGCCGGCGAGGGAGTGGAGGGTGCGGGGATGCGAGGATCGGCGACCCGGAGTTGGCTCCTGCCGCTGCTCCAGGGGATACCACAGCCTTCACCTCCTTCCCATCCTTCACTAGACCAATCCAAACAGAAGATGGATCAGATTCTGAGCAAATGGCCAAATGATCAACTAATGATTGAAGCTTTCTCACCCCAGATCCCAAATCAAGCAAAACACATCAAAATGGGACCAAAAGACCGAAACAAAGATTCCAACTTTCTCACCCGACAGCGCAGAATTCATCAAAAGCATCGCCTAAAAACCCATCAAAGCAAAAAAAGAATAGCTCTCTTTAGGCAGACTCCACCAATACAATGAACCGAATTTGAGGGCAAATTGAAACCCAAGATCCCAATTTCCCCCCCCCCCCCCCCCCCACCCAGATCACCTGGGCCGACCCAACAACATCCAAAATCAAACATGATTGGGAAAACAAAAAAAAAAAACAGATAAGGAGCGCGAGAGATCAGACCCTGCGAAAGCCACTGCTCCCGCCGCACGTCGAGCTTGCTCTGCTTCAGCTTCGCCGACCGATTCCCCTGCAAAAACAGAAACACCCACCACCACCACCACCACCCAAAAAAAAAAATCCCCACGGATCAGCACCCCCATCTCATCCAATCGAAAACATCCGAACTCGAATCGGAGAGAACCCCCCACCCTTATCCGCTTCTTCTTCGCGTCGCGCGCGGTCGACGGTGAGGACGCGTCGTGGGCCATGGCGTCGTATCCCATCCCCTCCCCTTCCCTTCTCCCTTCTTTACACACTGCCGCAGCACACACGCGCTCGCAACCTCGCCGCCGCTGGAGCCGGAGGAGGAGGAAGAGGAGGAAGGAGAGGAGGAGTAAACCCTAGCGCGAGCCGAGACGAGGCGGAGGAGGAAGGAGGAGCGGAAGCTGCAGCTGATGAGGATAATACGGCGTGGAGAAAAACGAGTCGATGAGCTGACGCAAAAATAAATAATAATAATAATAAATAATAATTAAAACAAAACGTTTTCTGCTTCCGCACGACGAGCTGGACGACGACGACGGCGGCGGCAACGGGAGAAATGACGGAAATGCCCTCCTCCGCCGCGGCGGAGCGCGAAGCGGTGTGGGGATGCATCTGGGCCGTCGGATTGATACGGTCGGTGCCAATACGTGTGGCCGGGCAGCATGCCACGTCGTCAGCATTAGTAAGTGAGAGGGAGGATGGATGTGCTGGGGAGAAAATAGAAGTGTTTTTGTTTTGTCCCGTTTAGATTCTAACTTTTTTTTTTCAAACTTTCAACTTTTCCATCACATCAAAATTTTCTACATACATAAACTTTCAACTTTTTTGTCACATCGTTCTAATTTCTTTAAACTTCTAATTTTGATGTGAACAACACAATCCTTGTTGAAGGAAAAAGATTGGAAGTGGTTGCGTATTCTGTAGGATTTTCTATCACACTTTTCTTTTCAAGAGTTGCAGGGTTGACCTACAGGAGATATGATTAGAGTATTTGGTAGTACGTCGAATGAGTTTTATGCGTCTCGAAATTTAAGTAACCATTCAATGCAATGTCCTAACATAAAAAAAAGGGTGAATAGCCAAAGTGGTTCTCCAAGTTTCATCTGAGACTCAGTTTAGTCCTTGATGTTTCAATATATCCATATTAGTCCTTCAAGTTTTCACTTTAGTTCAAACTTATCCTTGAACCAACAACTCTCTTCATAAATGACACTTATACCCCTCATCATTCACATGTATAAGAGAGAAATTGCATGCTTGAATTTTTTTATAGATAATGCATAGTATATTATGTAAAACGAAAAAAATTATGTACTAGCAAGTGTATACAATAGCAATTGCTTAAGTTTCATGTGCATATGTTGAAATAATGGGAAGTACATCTGTAATATTGTTTATTCAGGTTGGCTTTCTCTTTTCTATTCTAGTATATAGATGTATACAAATTAAGGGCAAAAATGACATTTTCTAATAGAAATATTGACTAGAAATAGCCATATGGCATATTAAGTGGACCCAAGGATGATTTCAAACCAAAACAAATATTTGAAGGATCTATGTGGACAAAATGAAACGTGAAGGACCAAATTGAGCCTTCGCTGAAACTTGAGGGACTAAATTAGCTATTCACCCAAAAAAAACTTAAAATATGCCGGACGGATATGATTTAGTAGTGCATGCGTAACTGTGTAGATATAAATGAAGATGCAATCCTCACTGACTTATACAACGATAGTGGTATATTCTTAAAAAAAATAAAAGAAGCATTTTCAATCCTAGCAAAAAGAAAACGAAATTTAAGTAGTTATTATAGTGTTATTACATTCTTTTATAAACTACATTCTGATACCTATAGCTTCTCTAAGAATCACTCTAAAACTACATTCTTTTATAAACAAATGTTTTATGGTCTATTTACGGGAGTTTCTGATACCTATAGCTTCTCTAAGAATTACAAACTTCCATAAACAAATCCATTTTTCTTTGTTGTACAAAGAAAATGAACAAGAAGTCACAAGCTAGTTGCTTAAGTTTTAATTTTTTTTTCACCATCTAGATTCTCACGAGGTGCTTCTCGTAATATAAAACTCTACAAACAAGCCCTTAAGTAAAACTACACTCTTCTATAGATCTTTGAGAGAGAGAGAGAGTGTGTGTAATTTTATCACAATCAAATACATACATTTTCCATGTACACTTATTATACTATATTCCTCGTCATAACTATTTGGCGTGCATTTAGAATTCACCTAAGATTTTATAATTAACCATTAATTTTATATTAAATAAGTTATAAATCTAATACATTTATGATATTATGATAGTACTTTTCAAAATAATTGTGCACATATTGTTTTTATTTTTAAATTAATTATCAAGAAGTTATCGAGGATAAATGTCCTAAAAGTTTAAACATGCCTTGTCATAAATGTACTAAACAAAGTTTTGAATCTACAATTTACAACCAACTAAACCTACAACTCAACGTACAAACATGTCACGTCATCATCCACTAGCTATAATTGCATATCAAACTCACAAGCATGTAAAATCATCGACAATTTATTGAGTTCTACAGGTCATACATGTATATCTAATCATCACCCCTCATATCATTTTCACAATATTTCAATATATCTATTCATTATTTTTACAATACTTAACAAATATTTATCAACATATTCTACATCAAAGTGCGAGGTACTATTTAGTTTGTTTCATAATTAGAGCATGTTTGGTAGAGCTCGTCTGGAGTGGAGTTGTGGAGCTGCCTAAATCTAACTCCATCTCTCTAGTTTATTTTGTGAGAGTGCTCCACCTAGCTCCGCTCGTTTAGGTGGAGCTAAAACTGTTTAGTTGGACTCTAACTCCAAAAAGGATGGAGCTGGAGTTGAAGCTATGCCAAACAAAAATACTAATAAAAACTGATCGTATTTAACAAACCGATCTCCGACAGTTAAAAAAAAGCGAGCTGTTTTAGTGAAAACCGATCAGTTTTATTAACATTGACAATGTGTTTTCATAGAAGTAGTTCTGAAAGCAAAATTGAAAGCTCTGGGAAATTTACAACACTTTTTTTTTTCAAAATATCTTCACTTGGCAAACATTACCTCAGCTCATCTATCTCCATTAACATTTTTCAGGAGATTGAAGCTAGCATCATATCATATCATACACTGCACTCTGCACGAAAACTGCTACGCACACTACCTCAAAAACCCAAACCTCTATACTACGATTGCACACTAACATTCGTACACACTACACGTCTACACATCCATCCCTTCTACGGCCTCCTTGACCACGACGAAGTCGTCCATCTCCTTCTCCTCGCCGGCGCCGCCGTCCTTGGCAGCGGCGGGCGCCACCACCACGGCGGCCGTGCCGGCGGGCTGCTTGTACTCGTGGCGCCTCGCGAACACGAGGAACACGGCGAAGTTGGCCACCCCGAGCACGGCCAGCATCCAGTAGAAGAGGTCCAGCCTGCCGGCGTCGAGGTCGTTCCGTATCCACGCCCCCCGCGTGGCGGCGTCGACGGCGAAGACGAGGAAGCTGCTGAGGAAGAATCCCATGGACAGCGTCACCAGGAAGAGCCCCGTGCTCATCGACTTCATCCGCTCCGGCGCCTCGCGGATGAAGAACTCCAGCTGCCCGACGTACGCGAACGCCTCGCCGGCGCCCACCAGGAAGAACTGCGGCACCAGCCAGAACGCGCTGATCATGCCGCCGCCGCCGCCGTCGTTGGCGGCGTCGCGCCGCTTCTTCTCGACGAGCGCGGAGGTGGCCATGGCGACGGTGGCGAGGACGAGGCCCGCGCCGACGCGCTGGAGCGAGGTGAGGCCCTGGGGGCGGCGGGTGAGGCGGCGGGCCGCCGGCACGAGGACGCGCTCGTTGAGGGAGGTGAAGAGGAGGATGGAGAGGAAGAGGAAGACGGAGAGGGAGCCCGCCGGGATGGCGAACCCGCCGGGGGCGGCGCCCGGGCGGAGGTGGCGGTCCATGCGGGTGGCCTGCTCGACGGAGAAGGTGGTCATCTGGGAGTACACCGTCCAGAAGAGGATGCAGGTCGACCAGATGGGCAGCAGCTTCACCACCATCTTCACCTCCTCCACCTCCGTCACCGTCGCCGCCGGCGCCGCCGATGTCTGGTTCGTCTTCGCCGGCGACGCTGCCAGGTCCGCCTCCATGATGGCCGCCCTGTCCAGGCACCTGCATGGCAAAAACCCAGTCAGCAACGTATGTACGGATCCAAGTATCTAACAAGCTAGGTAGCAAGTAAAAAAAAATTGACACGTGTGTACATATATATACGACAGAGATCATCAGATGATTTTCAGTTGTGTTCGTGTTAGCAAAACGCAGATGCCAGATGGATGTGAATAAGTGATTTTCAGATGGAGATTTAACAATAGAATCGTTCTTTTGATAAGTGTCTCTCTCTTCTTCGATGGTGGCCGGATTTTATCCATTATACAAAAAAAGATGGATGTGAATGATTGGGCATCTTTTGTGATCAAAATGAAGCGAATTCTTTAAGGATCTGAACTTCTCTAGCAATGCACGTATAGGCCGGCCGGTGCACCAATCTGACTGTTTCAGATATGCATCTCGAGCCTCAGTTAATGCAATTTGTGTTGTGTACACAACACATCCCTGTGTCACCACCCCACATATGCTCGCGGGCACAATGTCAAATTTATTCTTTTTATTTGCATATATGAAATTTGGTTTACATGCTTATTAAGTGAATATATCATACTAATACATCTTGTATTTTTTTTATATATTTTTACTTTTAGGTGACGGAAATAAACGACAAAAAATCCACCTCTAGACTACTGAATTCACGGCTCGTCACTCTACTTGTGATCTGCTTCGTCCATCAGCCGGCCGCCCAATTTGGTGAATGTTATCTCTAATTAATTGGGTGTCTCACATACTAATTGGGTGTTCTAATCAATTCGATGTCTCACTCACTTTGACCACTCATTCATTTCATCTAGTACCATGCATGATTTGCTCTTGCGTGCTGTGTTAGCAAGAGGGCGAACTGAGTTGTCGTCCTCAGCTTCTTCTCTATAGCTCGTGTCCATCTCAGCCTTGACAGTGACCTAACCGGTGAAGCCAATTAAGTACCGTGCTAATAATAGATTATAGACTTGTGATCGATAGCTAGATTAACCCTCATGCCTAGGTAGAAGTACATACTACTAGCTAGCAAGCTCTACCAGTTCACATCCTATTGGCACCAGTTGATACTAACCATGGAAAGGCTATGTGGCTAGAGCTGAAAAAACGGAGTGTTTTGAAAGCTCAGTTCTGCCATGTATTTTCAAACGATACGATCGATTGATAGAATTTAAATAGCAAGCAAATGTTTTGGCAAAATCAGCAGCCACAAGAATCCAATCCTGAAATCTGAACCCTGATCTCCTATATGCACCGGTTGACAGCAGCAGTATTGTACTATCAGCAGAGCACATCGTGTCACGTAAACTCTGAAGAAATAACATTCATCCATGTCTACTTAGCAATATAATGCATTTTGCATCCCAACCAAAACATGTTTCTTCCAGCTATATATTAATCAATCAACAAAGCTAGGACAGCAACGAGTTAACTACTAACGGATGATGCCTGATGACAACCACGAGTGTATGATCTGAAGCTAATTTTCTATAGTCGAGGAGATCATATATCTAACTGAACTTTGTATATTATTAGGAGAAAAGAGAACCACGTGGCGATTATACATTCTACGGTTTGAGACTGAGGTGGTATTCTTTTCTTCTGAAGATGAATATTAAGTTTTTTTTACGTAAAACGAGATGATATTAACATATAATTGATTTTGAGTTTTAATTATTTCAAATTTAAAAAATAAATTAATATGATATTTTAAAGCAACTTTCATATAGAAAGTTTTCACACAGAACACACCATTTAGCAGTTTGAAAAACGTGTCACGAAAATATTAATCTCCATTCAACTCTTGTGGGAGAAAAGAGCGGGATCTCCCCTCATGAAAGATTGTGCGTTGATTACCTGAGGCGGTCGGTGTAGGCAACCTTGGATGTGTGGTAGCCGTGGAGCTCGCCGGCGTCGGCGGGGAGCGGCAGGCGGCGCTTCCTCCACGCCGTTGCCAGCACCCGCCCGATCACGGTGAGCGGGCTCCCCTCGGGGCGGCGGTACCGGTACTTGGGCGTGCCGGCGACGAGGACGGCGACGGCGAGGACCATGGCGACGGCGGAGACGCCGTAGCCCCAGCCCCGGCCGACGTTGTCCTGGACGTACACCAGCACGGTGACCGCGAAGAGGGAGCCGAGGCTGATGCAGAAGTAGAAGCGGTTGAAGAAGAACACCATGGCGCGCTCCTCCCGCGGGTCGCCGCCGTCGAACTGGTCGGAGCCGAACCCGGACACGTTCGCCTTGAGCCCCCCCGCGCCCGCCGCGACCGTGTACAGCGCCGCGTACAGCATCGCCAGCTGCCCCCCGCGCGCCGGCTCGCACCGCAGGTGCGCCCCGGCGCCGCGCGCGTCCGCGCACGGCGGCGGCCGCATCCCCGGCACCATCGTGTCCACCGTCAGCAAGCTCACCCCCTGCATGGCAGCAGATCGTAGTGAGATTCCTGCACCGCGCGAGGATGATCGAAGATGTGTTGTTCTGTGTGTGCGAGAGCGAGAGCGTACGGTGGCGGCGATGGTGGCGGAGATGGCGATGGTGAGGTAGCGGCCGAGCTTGGCGTCGGCGAGGAAGCCGCCGACGAGGGCGAGGAGGTTGAGGGTGCCCATGAAGTTGGTGACGATGTTGGCGGACTTGGCGTTGGAGAGGTGCAGGTCGCCGACGAGGTACGTCACCAGGTTCATCGAGATGCCCATCACGCACACCCGCTCCGCCAGCTCCGTCCCTGCAAATTAACAACCACCGCCGCCGCCATGGCATGTCATCTCGAGCTCAAATCAACCAAACTTTTTCCCACGATCGAACTCGCGAGTCGCGACCAGCAGTGAAGACGACGCGTACCTAGGATAAGCCCGGCGCCGAGCCATCCCCCGGTCTTGGACTTGTCCACCGGGTTACCCCGGTAGTCGACAACCATGCCGTCGTCGGCGCCACCACCATGACCTCCTCCGGCAGCAACCTGCACAAACATACATCCAGCTTAACAACTCAATCACCAAACCAAACCACCAATGAAAACATGCATGCACTGTCGGTGTGTGCGTGGTGGTATATATTTTTTTTCTAGTTACGGCTTTATAGGCTTACAGGATTGTAATCTTGTTATTTTTTTCCTGCTCTAATAGAACTTCGTATAAAAAAAATACATGCATCCTGCTGCATGCACAGATACAGCACAAGCAAGCATTGTTTATGTTACCATTTTCTTCTGCTGCTGAGATGCACTGTCTACCGCTGCTGCAAGCAGATGAGAAGAGAAGGCAGCAGGCACAGGATAGTGAGGAGAGAAAACGTTTGTGCAGTGAGGATGAGGAGGCCGGCCTGATCGATCGGAGGATTTATAGAGTGGAGGCGTGCAGAGGTGGAGAGGTTTTGATCGCGAGATTTTCTCTCGCAACTTTTTTCCTTTTCCGCTTGTTGGTTTCGGGTAAGGTGAGGTGGACGAGATGATTGCTGCACGTACGTACGTACGTACGCACGCTGCCTGCCCCCGCCTTTGGCGCGGAAAGGACAAGTAGGTGATGACCTGCTGGCGAGTTGTGTCGTGTGGAGGGTGGCCTGGCAAAATCTCTGGGTGAGGGGGATTTTGGGCCACGGATTGCAGGGCTGGGATCCTCTGCATGTGCGGCCCCGGTGAATTGAATGGAGGTGTTTGGTTTCCGTGTCTTTTATTATCTACAGTAAATTGGATTCATGTCATTGCAAATATACTTATTTAGATGAATACTTTATAACTCATCTATTTGTAGCCATGTCACTATCATCACGTTTTTCATCCATCTATTTTTTTTTCCGTTTTCTTCTGTCTTCTTCCCTTGAGCGATGGCGATGAGGTGGCAACACGGAGAAGAAGCACAGTGGTGTTGTCCTTGCCGCACGACTTGCATGACCACCAGGCCGTGGTGGTGGTGTCGTCATTGGGTACTGCAGCGGCGTCCGCCTTCATCTCGAAACAGTAGGACTGGGCATTGTCGGGCACGGCGGTGGGCAGTGTTGAGCTCAACTTCCTTCTCACCACAACCGTCGCGCTGTTGACGCCACGTGCACCAACGCCTGGCACTACTGCTTCCAGGCCTGCTCTACACCACCACGTCGACCTCTGTATTCGCTCCACCAAGTGGCTCACCGACGTAGCTTCTCCAGCCTGGCGTGCATCCACTCGTTCTCCATCCGCACCACCGCGTCAATCTCTGCTCTTTGCAGGCACAACTCCGACACTAGTGCATCTCCCACCGCTGTAGCTGAGGCGGCCGACCACCCTACTCATCGACGTCATCGTCGACTCCACCAGTGCAGCCGACACAACCAGCTTCATCATCCTCGAGATCGATAGCAGCACCGCAGACGATAATGCTATTGTTATAGCAACCACCTGCTGCCAAGAACATTGCTCAAGGAAAAAGGACGGGAGAAAGAAGGAACAAAACAGAAAAGAAAAAGAAAAGATGGATGGAAAACGTGACGGCCATGATACTATTTTTTTTATAAAATTTTATGAAAGGGTATGTAGCCTAGTGGTTACAAGAGCATTTAACGGTATCGCACTTTCAGTGGTAGGCGATGTATACATCGACAGACGAGTCTTGTTAATGAATTACTGATGTTGGACTGTTTAGCTAGGTGAATTAATGCACAGAAACAGCATCTATTTTGCTTAAGCTGGCTTGTTTACAAAAACCGAGATTAGGAGACGGCGTCGCAACTCGGCACAGCCACCGCGGGGACTCCGTCGTCGCCGTCCGTCCTACGTGTGCGCGCGCGGCAGGTGCCGCCCCGCCCAGCGGCCCACACGTGCGCCAGCCGCGTACGGCACCCCGGCCTTCACCACCCACGTGCCAGCCTCGGGTTGGCCGAGAGAGGCGCCGGACGACGTGGACAGGTCCGTCCTCCGTCAAGCAGGGAGCCGAGCCGAGGACTGCGGAGATGGACAGCCCGTCTGCTGTATGTACGCGCGCGCAGGCAGGTCCATGTGGCTGTGGCCTGTGGCACGCTGAAAATCTCGCCGGTGAACGCGAGCAGCCAAACAGCCCAACCAAGTAACCAAACTGCATGCGGTGGGTGGCATATGGCTAGGGTGCGCAGAAAAAGATCGAACCAAAAGACTGAACCGAAAAGACCGAGACCGAGAAATTCGGTCCTAGGTAGTGAAAGACCGAATTTTGTTCGGTCAATTCGGTTAGTCTCATCGGATAACCAATAGACCGAAAAGACCAAATTATAAAAAAAAGTCTAAATGCAACCTACAATCTACTATGTTTAATAGGATTAAACTCTAATTTTCACATCCCTACTTCTTCTAGGCATGCAGCTTAATAGGAGTCTTTACTCATAAGTGCTTACGAATTTTTTTAAAGATTTTTATGTTAAAAATTTCCATTATTTCTTTGCATATATGAAAATATTGTTGAATTTCGGTCAGGACTGAGACCGAATTTGTCGGTTCTGACATTTTTGCGCTGAAATTCGGTCTTCACTTTTTAAAGACCGAAGACTGAGACCGAAATTTTCAGTTAGACCGAATGCCCACCCCTGCATATGGCACGCAGGCGCAGCGTTCTTTTTGTCGCGTGTTGCATGGCTGAAATGTTTTTTTTTTTCTCATCTGCGTGGTGTGTTTTTTTTCCTCTTCGGCGTAGGGTTGAAAAGTCACCGGCACGCAGGCATGTGGAGGCAGAGCCGTATAAGCGTACAACCACATGGTATTTTAATTTCTTTCGAAAACGAGCCACCACATGATCTTTTGCTCAAAACCGGCAGGGGCTCTGCTCCGCCGCTGCGACGTGCGTGCGTATGCCATCTTCTTTTGTCTCTTCTCCTTTTGTGGCCGTGCACGCATCGGCGCGCGTCTCTGTCTCCGTGGCGAGAACGCGTCTTCTGAACCGCACGATCGCCGGCTAATTCCACGCCGTGTACTGGTGTGTAACTACTCCTACGTGGTAATGCATGATGCAAACTACAGAACTTCATTTGTTCCAAAATAAATAAATTTAATATAAAATATGATACATTCTAATACCATAAATTCAGCATCTGTAATACTATACCAATCTTAATATCTTATACTCCCTCCGTATTTTAATGTATAACGTCGTTGACTTTTTGACAAACGTTTGACATTTCGTCTTATTTAAAAAATTTATGTAATTATAATTTATTTTATTGTGACTTGATTTATCATCAAATGTTCTTTAAACATGACATAAGTATTTTTATATTTGTATAAAATTTTTAAATAAGACGAGTGGTCAAACGTTGGTTAAAAAGTCAACGGCGTCATACATTAAAATATGGAGGCAGTATTAAATTTGTTTACTTTAATATGACTTAATATAGAAGAAAAAACTCCACTAGGCATGATTATGCCATGTGTCACTTGATGCTGCCTAGTCGTGACCATTTTTGAAAGGATCCATTTGTCGTATTGAAGTAGGAGCAACTGAGGAAGGCACAACGGCAGATTTTTTCTGTCTCCTTTTTTGCTGATATTTTTGTTCTCATAAGCAGCATATGCGAGCTTTATGATTAGGCCCGGTCGATTCACGATAAGTAGATAAGAACACACACCAAAACATTTATCTTCATTTTATTACAAAGAGACGGCACAGCAGCACAACGCACAAAGAGATGAAACGATAGCTCGTGGAACACTTGTAAGCAAACCGATCGACCGATCATCGATCGTTAGCACTGCAGCACGGTCACTCGTTTATACCTTCCAACATCTCTTGTCCCAATCTTTATCACGATATCTTTGTTTTATGCTTTCCCCTTTGGGTCATCCTAAAAGAAGAAAATATAGATATGGCCTAATCATGATATGTTCTTGAATATTCTCAAAATGGACACATTACCCCATCTAGAATTCTAGATGATCAGGTCGGCACATGCCTATGGATTAAAGCATATGCTTTGATTTTGGAATATGATATGCATGGATGCTTCAATTAACCAGCCTATCACAGGGGTGAACAGTAGTGGACGATAAAAATGAAAAAACTTCACCCCAGAACAAATAGCAAAGAAATTCCACTTGATTATTTGACTCACACAACCTGATTGACCGTCCGGATGTTTATTAGTTATTACTTTCTCCGTTCTAGAATATAAAAAATTTTAGAGTTGGACACGAATAAAGTAGGTAGAGTTAAATGAAAAAAGTTGTGATGGTTGAGAAATGGATGTAGATGAAAAAAGTGAATAGTGGAGGGTTATGATTGGTTGGGAAGAGAATATTGGTAGAGAAGTTATTATATTTTAGGATAATTTTTAAGTGTTAGAAGTTGTTATATTTTGGGACGGAGAGAGTACCTCTAATCCTTGATTCTTTTAACCACGACTACGATTTCACAAAATGTCACACCTAATGACCTATCATTAGTTTAGCTCTGGGTTCTTTTTTTTTTTCTTTTCATAAATATTACAACACGACATCCCATCCAAACGATAGCTCATATATCCTTTTTTCCCTAGCTCCCTCTTCCTCTCCCACTCCCTCCTGCCTTTCCCCACTTCCTCCTGCCTTTTCTCCTCTTATGCAGGGAGGCCGTCGAGGAGGACATCACCTAATGTGGGCTCCTCCTCCCGGGTGCGTTGTCGAAGGTGATTGAAGGGAGAGGCCAGTGAAAGCTACTAGATTTGGAGCTTGGTCAGCAACAATGTAGTGGTGATGACATCATGCTCCTTGCTAGTATTGTGTGCGGGTACATCATGTAGCGCAGTAGTGTTAATGTCAAAATTTGATAAGCCCGAAATCATCATTAGCTTAGAGTCAATATTAGCTTTAGAGTACAGGAATCAGCCGATGGAAGTCGTCAAGTCACCAGTAGTTGTGTTCTTGATGGAGTCGGATCAATTAAAAGAAGCTTATCTAGAAGAGTCCGAGTTCAAGGATAATGCGGCATGGCAAGTTATCTATTAATTAGGAATAGTTTATTAGTTTTCTTTTATCTTTAAGAAAGTGTGTTTAGTGTCTGATAAGGACTTTATGTTTTCCTTTTATCTTTGGGAAAATTTATTTCTTGTCCTACAAGGAATATTATCTCCCCATGGGTATAAATATGTACACCCGGGGTCATTGTAATATATCTCTCCATCAATACAACTGCTCTCGGCGCATCGCCACCTTCTTTACCGAGGTTTTTACTTATCATCCGACGGAACTTGGCACCTGACGCGGGGCTGCATTGGTTTGCGATCTCCGGCGAAGGGGTAAGTCCTACGTTCTGCCGGCCCTGGTGAATCTATTGACTACATTAGTGTTGTTCAAGGCTGCATCGCTTCGATCTCTTGGATCGCTCTGGTTTGGTTGATATATTTGCTTACCTGATATCTCAATTCTATCTCTAATTGCATTGTGTTTAGAGACGCATCGGTTTAGTTGGAACTGTCTTGGTTAGGTCTGATCTTCTGTCTTAGCCGATATATCTCTACAATCACAATGCTGTTGTAAATAGATTTGTTATATCCATCACATTAGACAGATCTATCGGCTCATCGAGTATTAGATTATCATATACAATCTCGTGATGCATCGGTTAGGTTCGACCTACTAGATTGTTGTTGATAATATAAATCTTGTTAAGCTGATAGGTTCATGCTAATGTTTTATCGGGGTGCTAGCCGATAAGTTATCTGGAC